CTCAGTCTCTCTTGATCGCTGATTTTGTGTGTCCAAAATCTTCTAGACAACTTTCTAGGGGCCACTTATGAGCTGTATGTGTTGCAGGATTTCAATAGGATGCTCTATTGGGAATCTCAGGTGAGCTCCACACGCAATGGAAGTTGCTCCCAGTACCAGTCACCACACAGAAATGGCTTAAGGTCCGAATAATTTACTATTGCAGAAGATAAGGCTCACTAAAAGAGTTCTGGACATAGATAGACGCAGCTTGTAGGCTATTGCAGATACAGATATGTACAGATATATACAAGTGCAAAGCTATCTCTGTTGCTCCAAATAAACTCCACCAATTCAAGGATGTAACACTGGACAAGTAACACCAACAGACTGATGTCTCACATACTAACTGCAAGCTAACAGATAACTGAGCCGACACGCATTAATCACAGATACAGTTGTGGCACTGGGTGAATGCCCAGTGCCTGGGCTTGCTAGCATACATGAGCCAATATCAACATTCCCCCAGCAGCGCTTCCTGCTAAACGAATCGGAGAATGTTTTGGACACAGTCGTTGCAAGAGCTTAGCAGCTGGGAAGACTCAGTGTCGGCGCCCAAAAATGCAGGTAAGCTCCTCTCGCTGATGACACAGTCATAGGGTGCTTCCAGAGGTGGAGATCTTCCTTCACAGCTGGAGGCAGCAATGCTTCTGAATACCAGTTGCTGGAAGCCGCAAGAGAGGAGAGGGCGCTTGCGTTCAATTCCTGCTTGAGGGTTTACCTGTTGGTGCATCATGTCCTCATTCTCAGAAAACGGAAGAAACATGTTTATGACATGCCTCTTGAGTCTGCCTGCCTGGGAATAAGGTAAAGGTAAAGGCGACCCTCTGAACATTATCCGTCTCAGTCGTGGCTGACTCTGGGTTGCGGCGGCTCATCTAGCCTTTACTTGCGCCCGAGGCGAGCTGCGCGTAACAGCTCCCGGGTCATGTGGCCAGGCCATGACTAAGCCCGCTTCTGGCGAACCCAGAGGCAGCGCCACAAGGAAATGCCGTTTACGTTCCCGCTGGAGTGGTACCATATTTATCTAACTTGCCACTTTGACGTGCTTTCGCAACTGCTAGGTGGCAGCGAGCAGGGACCAAGCAACGGGATGCTCATCCCGTGCACAGGGATTCGAACCGCCAACCTTCTGATCGGCAAGCCCTAGGCTCTGTGGTTTAACCCACAGCGCCACCTGTGTTTAACCTGGTTTAACCTGGAGAATAGGTTTGTCTTAATTGCCAGCACAAATCACAGCTTTGCACATGGAGGCTTCCACTACGTCGGCGTGCAGAACCTCCAGCCTGCCAGAGGTCCATTTTGTCTCATCGGGCCATTTTCCCCAGACCAGTACACCTGCCCTTCAGCTGACAAGACTGGTGGCAGCACAGGTGGGAGGATAAGGTTTAGTTCTGTCTCTGGACAGCTCAGCTGCTTAGAGCGTGGTGCTGATGATACAAGGTCTCAGGTTCAATCCCCACATGAGGCAGCTGCATACTCCCTTAGACCAGGGTAGGCAACCTAAGGCCTGGGGCCGGATTGCGGCCCAATCGCTTTCTCAATCCGGCCCATGGACGGTCCGGGAATCAGCGTGTTTTTATATGAGTAGAATGCGTGCTTTTATTTAAAATGCATCTCTGGGTTAATTTGTGGGGCATAGGAATTCGTTCATTTTTTTTTCAAAATATAGTCCGGCCCCCACATTGTTCGAGGGTGGACCAACCCACGGCTGAAAAAGGTTGCTGACCCCTGCTTTAAGACGTTTGCTGAAAACTTGTCTGTTGTTTAATTGTGTTTCATTGCTTTTAGTTGAGTTTAGCAGTTTTTGTTTTGTTTATATATATTTTTTATAATGAAGGTTTTTTTGTTTTTGCTCCTTTGGGCTCTTCTGGGAGGAAAGGAGCAGTATTTAACTTATTAAATTAATAAATCTGTTTCAGATTCACCAAGCTCAGACTCCTCCCAGACAACATTTAGTTCTGGAGCTTCTGAGGGAGACATGAGGGCTGCCATGCGCTTCATGCGCCAGTTTCTCCGCAAAGCCACCAGGTTATCTGCACCCCAACCCGCCCTCGCTTTCCCTGCTACAACATGAGTTCCTTAAAAATGGAACTTCTCCCTCCAGTCACATAAATTCAGGAATACTTTGAATTGGGCTCGAACCCCAGCAAAGTAGGCATGGCACTGGAGTAAAACATTCCCTGCGGAACGCCCCCAGAAGAGTCGTAGTTTCCAAATCTTTCCGGGGGCAGCCCCGCAGAGAGCATGTTGCGGTAGTTCAGATGGCTTGCCGCTTTTGCTAATCCTTCTTGAACTCATCTTCCTGTCCTTGGTTGGGGAGGCTAGGGAAATTACCTGAGAAGGTCAAGTTCCTGGACTGCATAGACCACATCAGCGCAAACCTTGACAGCAGTAAGGTGGGCTACATTGGTCAACGTCACTACAACCCGGCCCTGATAAGGGAAACTCTTTCCTGGTGAGTAAGCCGACCCATGTACATGTGAGTGCGGACAATGAAAAATAGCCCTAAAAAACTCCTCCTAACGGAGCCCAAGGAAAGATTAGCACTAGAAGTGTTTGTATAGTGGGAAAGATGGGCAACAGACACAGCTCTTTTAAGCAACAGCTCTTTATTACAGCACCTAGCACTACTCTAAGTCTCTTCTGAACAGTGAAAGCTGGCTGCCTTATATAATGTTCAATAACCTGTAACAGTAACAAATTCCAACTAGCCACCCAATCGGTGAAAGCAACTCTCAATACTTCATTTGCATACTGGTGGCCCAGAGTGAGAACTGCAGCCAGTCTGAATACATAACAAGAAGCCCACAGCTTTATGGTTTGCCCGTTCTGACCCTGCCTTGGGCTCTTCAAGAATGACTTTGCGCTTGGTAATTGTGTCTCTGTTTTGGCTGTGGGAAAACCATCGTAGGAAACCTCAAAAAGGATATCATTGAGATAGGGCAGAAATGGCCTAGACTGGATGGAGCCGCTCCCTTAGGAGGAAAAGGTTACATCATTGGGGGCTCCTTAAACATAAGATGCTAGCTTAGTCGGTAGTACATGAGACGCTTAATCTCAAGGTTGCGGGTTCGAGCCCCACGTTGGGCAAAAGATTCCTGAATTGCAGGGGGTGGGACTGGATGACCCTAGTGGTCCCTTTCGACTCTACAGTTCTCTGATAGTATAAGTATAGGGGGAACATGTGCAGCCAAAACAGCACCACCCATTCATAAAGAGAGATGTGTAGCCAAAATAGCACCACCCATTCATAAAGAGAGATGGAAAAGCACAAACCAAAAAAACACGACTCCCTGAGGGGGAGAACTTCCCGAGAACAGCCCAGAAAGGACTGGGCATGCTCGGGGGCTTTGTAATGCTTGCAGACCTTGTGGAGAGAAATGGGGAAGCAGGTTGGAGGGGGAATAGAACAAAATGCCCTAGAGCACTTCACGCTGCAACTCTGGGTTGCAGCGCCCACTTGTGCTCTACAAGAATGCGTCTCATGAAACCTCCATGGATGCCGTCCTTTTTTTGCCATTCCAGTTCCTTCTTCCTGAAACGGGATCCCCGTTGGTCGAGGAGCGGGTCATGGCCTTGTCCAGAATCACCAAGCTGGTCTGCTGGATCACGTCCCATTGCACACCCGAAGTGAGGCTCAGTCGCCCATTCCCAGGGCTGGTTTGGTTTAGCAAACTTCGTGGAAGTAGTTCAGAAAACCTCCAAACTACGCCTGAAAAGTAGTTCCCATAACTGCTGAACAATTCACCTGCAGTTTTTAGGGTTGCCATATTCTGAAGAGCAAAAAGAGAGGGCACATTTTCAGATTTTAGCTATGGGTCGCTATGGCGAATCATGAAAAATACTGTAAATGGAGCAGTTCACTCTCTGCACGTGCTTTAAGATACTTTCTTGCTGTTCTTAGGTACAATTCTATGCTTCTATGATTTTACACTCCAGCCCAGCAACTTTTAACCTTCTGCATGGTGGGGATTATTTGAACTTGAACAGTTTGTCGAATCATAGAATCACAGAATCGGAGAGTTCGAAATGAACTGAATTTGCTCACTTTTCCCCAAATGAGGGGTGCTAAAAAATTGTAACACGACTTGGGAATTCAAAAGATATTTGGGCTAAATTAATATAATTTAGTTTTGCTTAGTGAGTAAAATTGCATAGAAATCATTAGAAATGATTGCCAAGTACTTGCAGTTATACTATATATTAATATTGCATTATTATTATTTTTATTAAGCAATACCTGGCATTTTCAGAAGGTAAAATTAAAATTCTTTGGTTTTCCAAAAACCGTTTATGTGCTTCTTCCTCAAACGTACTTGCCAAGCTAAATGTTGTCCAGTCACAAAAATAATAGCAGATTTGAATTCCTCACACCCAAAACCATTTTTTAAAAGATCCCTCACTGAAGGAATCTGAAAAAATTAAGTTTCACCCCGTAAAATAACACTCTCTAGTAGCCCATGTCAGTGTGCCACCTTCACAGGAAAGAGTAAAGGGGTGCATTTGGGGATATCTTGGCAGCAGGGTCCAAATCCATAGGGAGGTTGATTAAGGTCTGCTTCTCTTTGCAACCCCACTGCAGCCGTGGTGGGTGGCATGACACAAAATGGCTGCTATGGGGTGCATGGGATGGCACAAAATGGCTGCTGTGGGTGCATGGGATGGCACAAATGGCTGCTGGTGGAGTGTGACACAAAATGGCTGCTGTGTGCATGGGACGGCACAAAATGGCTGCTGTGCAGCCGTGGGTGGGTGGCATGACACAAAATGGCTGCTGTGGGGTGGCATTAGGATGGCACAAAATGGCTGCCGTGGAGGTGTTGGCACGACACAAATTGGCTGCTGTGGGGTGCATGGGGTGGCACAAAATGGCTGCTGTGGAGTGTGACACAAAATGGCTGCTGTGTGCATGGGACGGCACAAAATGGCTGCTGTGAGGTGTGAGGTGTGGCACAAAATGGCTGCTGTGGTGTGCATGGGATGGCACAAAATTACTGCTGTGGTGTGTGTGTGTGAGACGGCACAAAATGGCTGCCGTGGGGTGCGTGGCATGACACAAAATGGCTGCCACACTTGAGGAGGAGTAGAAAATGAGGTACAGTAGAATGATTCTCTCCTGCAGGGAATGAAGGACTTCAAGATGGGGAAGCTGGCGGGGCACCTGGCGCTTTGCAGCAAGGACTCCAGCGAGAGCGTGTGCCACTGGGCGGCCGACGCACTCCACCGCCTGTACACCCTGATCCTGCACCAGAAGAGTAAGAGCGAGGACCCGCCAGTTTCCCCCAAGATGGTTCATGGCGGGGAAAGGGAAATAAATGGGTTGGCATGTTGGCAATAGCTGGGAAGCGGGATGTCCCGCCAGAGGAGATAAAGCAAAAAAGGTTCTTCGCTTAGAGCAGCCTTTCTCAACTTGTGGGTCCCCAGATGTTGTTGAACTACAACTCCCATCACCCCCAGCTAGCAACTCCAGAGCTCAGGGATGATGGGAGTTGTGGTCCAACAACATCTGGGGACCCACAGGTTGAGAACCGCTGGCTTAGAGCGTCTTCAGATTAGCAAGGGTGGCTTTACCTTCTGAGCCTGCCTGTTGGAGGCTTGTTTCATGGCTGCTCCTGCTATTCTCCCAGGCTGTCTGTCAGCCCAACCCTGCCTTTCTGAGGGCCGGGTGGAGAGCCCTGGAGGGCCACCTTCAGGGGCCGGGTCTGAGCTTCCCTGCTGGCCGGCCTGAAGGAGTGTTGGGCGGCCTCCTTTCGCTGCTCCATCCCCTCTCCGCACCCTGCTTAGGGGTGCCCATGTCCCTTGAGCTGACCCCAAACTCCTCCAGCTCCACTTTCCGTTGGGGTGACCCACTGGGGAAATCCGTGTCGCGTGGTCCTTCAAAACCTGCAAAGCCACCGTCCCAACGCTAATACATGGTGAGTATTGGCACCTATTTTTTGGGGGGGGGGGTGCAGCACTGTATATCTATATATCTATATGTATCTATATATCTCTCTATATATAGATATACCGTATATACCGTTTCTTTGCATCTATCTACAGCTGTAGGTATACAGTGGTACCTCTGGATGCGAACGGGATCCGTTCCGGAGCCCCGTTCGCATCCTGAGTAGAACGTAACACGCGACTGCGTGTCTGCACATGCGCAGGTCGCATTTCATTGTTTCCGCGCATGCGCGTGACGTCATTTTGAGCATCTGCGCATCCGTTCTGCAGCCCCGTTCGCATCCTGAGTAGAACGGAACACGCAACTGCGTGTCTGCGCACGCGCAGGTCGCGTTTCGTTGCTTCCGCGCATGCGCGTGACGTCATTGTGAGCGTCTGCGCATGCGTGAGCGGCGAAACCCGGAAGTAACGCGTTCCGTTACTTCTGGGTCGCCGTGGAGCGTAACTTGAAAACGCTCAACCTGAAGCATATCTAGCCCGAGGTATGACTGTATCTATATCTATCTTTCTATCTATCTAATCTCTGGGTTTCTTTGTACATTTCTTGAGGCCTGATGAAGCCTGAGAACGACCCAGAATTTATGGAGCTTATGCAGGACTGGAAAGAGGAAAAGATCTTCTGGCTGGCCTGGTTCTCTGACATCAGCACCACCACCATGGTAAACCTTTTTCACCAGCTCCAACGTGTGTCTTCTTCACACCTGGCAATTTTGGGCATGGACCTGTTTTACAGGTGCAGCTGAAACGAATGTAACCAGCACAGGAGTTTGGAAACCCATCCAGTTAATCTAGATTAATAAAATTATGTTTTGTTTTGTTTTTAAAAAGGAAGCACGCCCAGTTGCGCACAGGCACATGCAGAGAGGCAGGACGGACTGCGTCTTGGTGTTTGCCGTGCAGCCAAGGGCACACCTGGGTTTTGAGCTAGTGGTCGTATAACTGAGCCCAGGACTGTTTTTTGACTGTCAGTGGTTCTTCAAAGGTCCTTCTCTGCTCCACTGCTGTATCTGAGATCGTTTCAATGAGAGAGTTTAAAAAAAGAAAGAATGAATATGAAAAATGCCCAGCACTCAGAAAACTGAGTGATGGTGGGGGCAGCAGGGATAATTAAAAAAAAATAGAGGGAGAGGGGATGCAATGCAGTATCCAAGAAATGGCTTGGCTGTCTGGCTATAAGGTAGGAATCCTGAATAGGACCATTTAATGCTGCAGAGTTTTAATTCCTAGTCCCAGTCCCCACTCAGAGGGTTCATCCACACATCCACTTGCCCCACAACTTTCCCCCAAGTAAAATCAATTTTTACTGCTGAATTGGAGCAAATACTAATTGGGTTTTCTCCAGATTGATGTTGGCTCCGATTTAGCACTGGCTGGAAGTGTGGACGAGCCCCAACACTGCCCTGTGGTCTTTCCTATACATAAGGAGAGCACTGCGACCTTTCCTGCAGCACCAGAATCATAGAATTGGAAGGGACCACAAGGATCATCTTGTCCAGAGTTTCCCAAACATGGGTCTCCAGCTCTTTTTGGACTACAACTCCCATGATCCTTGAGCACTGGTCCTGCAAGATAAGGAAGATGGAAGCTGTAGTGCAACAAGAGCTGGAGACCCAAGTTTGGAAAATCCCGTTCTAATCCAATCCCCTACAATGCAAGAAGTTTTGGCCCAAAGTGAGACTCGAATCCATGACCATGGGATTAAGAGTCTCATGCTCTACCGACTGATCTTAAGGAGGGTTCCATAGCGAGTCAGCTGATCCCAAGATATGATCCCAACCATGGTGGATCCCAGCTCTTTGGTGTAATCGCCACCAGCCTTTCAACGGACCCCCTCCGTTTTCAGAAATTCAAAAAATGCCTGCATGCCGAGGAGCAGATGGACTTCCTCCTAGCAGCCATCAAGGGCATGAGGGACGACAACCTTTACCACACGAAGGCTGCCATCCTGATGCTGAAAGCCATGCTGAGGGATCCCCAGCCCGTTTTCATCAAGGTACGCTGCCTTGGAGCCTCCCGTTCCCCCTTCTCCTCTCTCCCCAGTCACCTCTTCCCACCTATTTTCCCCCCGCAGGTGCCCAAAACCACCAGGTTCATGTATTTCAGTCTGGAGCACATTGGAGACCCGCAGGCCCGCCTGGAAGTTTTCAGGTTCCTCTTGCTTCTGGGTAAGAGCCGCCCTCAGGATGTGGTGAAGACCCTCCTGGCCTGCTCTGTCCAGTGTGACAGGTGAGCGGGATGGACAGGGGGATAAAAATTTTTGATTTAAAATCCTTTTCGTACTCGCTAAATCAGTGGTTCTCGAACTTTTTTCTCTGGGCCACACTTTCAGAATACAGTGGTACCTTGGGTTACATACGCTTCAGGTTACAGACTCCGCTAACCCAGAAATATTACCTCGGGTTCAGAACTTTGCTTCAGGATGAGAACAGAAATCGTGCAGCAGCGGCACAGCAGCAGCAGGAGGCCCCATTAGCTAAAGTGGTGCTTCAGGTTAAGAACAGTTTCAGGTTAAAAACGGACCTCCGGAACGAATTAAGTACTTAACCCGAGGTACCACTGTACAAATTTGCCTACGCCACACCGAATTTTTGTCAATAAAAATATATTGGGAAACAAAAAGAAATAACTCCTAGCAGTGCTTGATTTATAACACAGAACACAACTACTTTGTAATATGATCATGGGGTGTCCAGAAAGTATCAAAGAATACAGCTATGTAAGAAGGTGAATCATTTCCAAAATGTAATTATAAACGAGCATGAAACTTAAGTATGTGTACAAACTCAGTGAGAGGTGGGAGGTTGCTTTTGCCAGGTAATCTCATTTATACCAGGGTGGAATCTAGACACGCATTAAAAAACACTCTGAAAATGCTTTTTTTTAAAAGCGTTTTGAAAAATATATTGAATTTGCCATAAGCTCATCACTGCCATCTAGTGTCATGTTTGTATGATTCAGGTAGGTAGTCGTGTTGGTCTGACGCAGTAGAAATATATTTTAAAAATTGAAAAAAATTCTCCAGTGGCACCTTAGAGACCAACTAAATTTGTTCTTGGTATGAGCTTTCGTGTGCCTGCATCATATCTGAAGAAGTGTGCATGCACATGAAAGCTCATACCAATAACAAACTTAGTAGGTCTCTAAGGTGCTACTTGACTTTTTTATATTTTTTATATATAGTTCTATGTATGATGTACTTAAAACGTTATGTTTGCAGCTGTATTGCTGAGTCCTGGGTCTAATTTGAGACAAGCAAACACTCATCTCATCAACGCAGAGATGCCTTTCTCTCTTCCGCTCTCTCATATTCGTCAGAGCTGAACATCCCTGCTCACAACAATAGGTCGTGGAGAACTGTAGAAGAACAGCCAATGCTCTTTTCCTTTTTAAAAAATTAAAAGCACATTTATTCACAAGTTACGCTCCATCTTTCTCCAATCCCGCAGAACGACCCCTCCAGTCCTAAGCCCCACATCACTGCCTAGCCAGTGCTCTTGAAGAGAGGGGCACCACACACATACTGGTCTAAATCGCCTTTCTCTCGTTTCGCCGTAATCTGAATGCATTTTGTGCGCCAACCGAAGCCCCTGCTTCTCCCCCCCTCGCAGCACCGCCTCCGCCATGTGGAACAGCTTAACCTGCTTCTCCGACACTGCGCAGAAGGTCCTGGGCGTGCTGCAGTCCATCCTGCAAGAGCAGCCGATGTACTGGGATGGCCACAGGGTTAAGGCCTCCTTGCGACCCTTGGCTGTAAGTGCTGGCAGGACTCTGGCCCCCAAGAAAGCACCCAAAGAGCAAAGCGGCCCTGTGCGTGACATCACCAAGGCCCATCCCCGGGGCCAGCCTGCCCACGAGGCAGAGGGAAGCGACCTGCCTCGGGCAGCGGACTTCCATGGGGCAGTGCCACTGCAGGCACAGCACCCACCCCTGCCACTGCTGGGTCACGCAGTGGCAGCAGATTCCGGCTTCCCCTCGCAAAGGCGCCACACAACCCCAGTAAGGGAGGCAAGGGGGGGCGGCACCCTTGCCTCAGGTGGCAAAATGAAACAGACCCCAGAGATGCCCCTTCGGCGTCCGGGTGACCATTTGAGGGACCTAAGGACGTGGCTGGGAAGGGAAGTGGGCGGGAAATTCCTCTCCTTGCTCATGTACAATCAGGCGCCTTGACCGACCTCCCAGGCCAACGCAGCGTTTTATGAGATCTTGAGGCGCCCGTCCCCAGCCTGCCGCGAGGTGCTGAGAGAGATGTTCACCACGCTGTCCATAGCAGTCCTCTGCCAAATCTCCTTCGCCGTGTACTTTACACCAGAGGAGACGGATGTCTACACGACGGCCTGCATCCGCCAGGAGATCCCCATCCCTCCTGCTCCTTTCAGGTGCGCTTCTTTTGGTTCATCCGATTTTCCCTGTTTGTCACAGGCAGGGTCGACTGATACTGCGGTAGCCCTGTAGCCAGGGTGGCCGGACGCACGCACGCAGCTCCCTGCTGAGCCGGACTTCGCTCCTTGTCCGGCCCAAGGTTGTTTTTTGGGAAATTGTCTTTTTAATTTGTGACATGATACACAGCGACAGCCTCCAATTGAAGAATGGCAGCTTCTGTATTATCACGCCAGGCTGTGCTTTCTGGTCCTCAAGGCTGCATGCAGAAAAAAGCCTGAAAATGCATGGGTGTTTTCTTCGAAATGCTTAGCGGCGTGGGGATCACATGCGAGTGACGGTAGCCAGGATTGCTGTGATCAAGGGAACAACTTCAGCACAAGTTGGTCTCTGCACCCCAACCCCTGTGGTGCCCGGGACTCTGTGAGAGCCAGCTATCTTTTACCAGCATAAACTATGAGGCACAATGGCCTACCCAAATAACTGAGGTAATGCATCCCACCCCTTTGAGGACCTGCTGTAAACCCAGCACAAGAAATCCATTCTAATACGGATTTGTCTCTGTGTGCAGGTCTGCTTTGAAAACTTTCAAAGGCCTCATCAGACGTGCAGGAAATGAGGACCTCATCCTCATCATGAACAAGAGGAGAGGTTCAGAACTCCTGTTGCATCGCAGGACCCACCTGAAAGGTCTCGCTCTCTTTGCCAGGTAAGCACATTGCTGTTAAAAGGAGCAGCAAGATCTGAAGAGTTTCCAAAAATCTTTGGGGGAGATCCCTAAGGCGTGGAACTTCATATCAGCCCCATAAGGGTCTGGATGGCATTGAATGTGGACTAAGAGGGCAAGGGAGAGTGAATGGAACCAAGCACCTTGAAAGGGAGGAGGGAGATAGAGACTCTGAGGTCTAAAACCATTTCATTGTCCAGATAGGTAATTAATAATAATAATAATAATAATAATAATAATAATAATAATAATAATTTATACCCCGCCCATCTGGCTGGGCTTCCCCAGCCACTCTGAGCGGCTTCCAAAAGAATATTAAAATACTATAATACATCAAACATTAAAAGCTTCTCTAAACAGGGCTGCCTTCAGATGTTGTCTAAAAGTCTGGTAGTTGTTGCTCTCTTTGACATCTGGTGGGAGGGTGTTCCACAGGGAAGGCGCCACCACCGAGAAGGCCCTCTGCCTGGTTCCCTGTAACTTGGCTTCTCGCAGTGAGGGAACCGCCAGAAGGCCCTCGGTGCTGGATCTCAGTGTCCGGGCTGAACGATGGGGGTGGAGACGCTCCTTCGGGTATACTGGACCGAGGCCGTTTAGGGCTTTAAAGGTCAGCACCAACACTTTGAATTGTGCTCGGAAACATACTGGGAGCCAATGTAGGTCTTTCAAGACCGGTGTTATGTGGTCCCGGCAGCCACTTCCAGTCACCAGTCTGGCTGCTGCATTCTGGATTAGTTGCGGTTTCTGGGTCACCTTCAAAGGTAGCCCCATGTAGAGCCCATTGCAGTAGTCCATTTCTCAGTTCATACCAAGAAGCCATTTTCAGGTGTCTCCAAAATAGGAGCTGCCCATAAACTTTGATGGAGAAATCAAATAATTAATCATGACTGGGATTGGGCCACTAGCATGTCCAGTCCTCCCCGTCACCCATTCAGCGAGAATGGAATCCACTCTGCAGCATTTTGTTGCAGGGCCTTCCTTGTGTATCCCAATAGCTAGCTCAGGTGGTGTGTTATGACAGCTCTGTAGTCAAAGCAGGGGGGCTGAGAAGCAAGAGGGAGGTATGCTCCGCATGTTCCCCGAAAATGGAACAGAATATCAGGAAAGAAGACATGGCTGGCTGGATCAGGGGAGAAGAACACTCCATTTTGCAATGCTTTGGACACCCAGTGTTTCTGTTTTTCAATGGCAAGAGAGATAGTCAGGGGCGAGGGAAGCGAAAGGATGTTGCCTTACTTGCTGGAGATTCTGGAAAGCGAGGGGTATCCGAAGCACATCACTGTGATGCCTTTCTTAATTGAGGTGAGCCTTGTTTTATGGAGGTAGGTGGGTCTGGTTAATTGTACAGCTAATCCGCCCCAGCCCCTCTTAGACTCCCATCTGCTTCCCCCAAGAGCATCATAGCCAAAGCCATTCCCCCAACCCACATTTTTGGCAAATCAAGCTGTGCACAGTTGTTTTCAGCGGACTGCAAAGGCTTCCAGAGCCCAGCGCACAGCAACTCCCGAGCCACAAAACTTAGCTGTGGTCACCTGTGCTTTGCGAACCCTGCGTCTCAGCTGCTTGAAGGAGTTTGCAGAGACCAGTGCAGAGAGCTTTGCAAGCCCTGACGCCACATATTTGGCCCTTGTGGGCCAAACAGGGAGGTCTGGCAAGCAGAGCTGCCCCCCCCCCCATAAGGCATGCTGAGGCAGTCGCCTCAAGATGACACATCCAAGGAGCACACAGCTTGATAATAATAATAATAATACCTTTATTGTCATTGTACAACCTGTGTACAATGAAATTAAACGAGCTCCCCCCCCCAACACTCAATCTCTTATCGAGCAACACACCACCTCGCAAGTCAATTTCACAGTGTCATTTTCTGTTCAACAGCCTAACAGGCCACGGATAGAAGCTATTTTTTAGCCTGTTGGTACGGCTGATTATACTTCTATATCTCCTGCCCGAGGGTAGAAGATTAAAGAGGTGATGGCCAGGGTGTGAGCCATCCCTGATAATTTTTCTCGCTCTCCTAAGGCAACAATCCCTTGCAATGTCATCTTGCCACCTCCTGGCCTCCTCCTTCTGCTCCTCTTTGGCCTGATCCAGCAGGCTCTTCTTGTGTTTTCATGTTCAAGGCCTGCTGCTGCCAGCTCTGCACATTCTTCTTCTGTTCTAGTTCCTTCATAAGGGAGCCTTAGCACCAGCTATGGAAGATAGCATCACTGAGCACCTGTGCCGGCAGGTGAAGGCCAGCCAGTGGGAGCTCAGAACCCTAGCTCTCGACGGCATGATTTGCTTTTTGGATCATCAAGAGAAGGTGAGAGACACGCAGTGATCTACCAGTAGACCAATAGGTCTTCCCAGTGGGTGGGGAGCCTACCATCCTCTAGATCAGGGTTTCCCAACCTTGGGCCTCCAGCTGTTTTTGGACTACAACTCCCATCATCCCTAGCTAGCAGGACCAGTAGTCAGGGATGATGGGAATTGTAGTCCCAAAACAGCTGGAGGCCCCCATTTGGGAAACCCTGCTCTAGATATTGCTGGTTGCCTAATTACACCTACTGGACAGAGGTTGACTACCACTGTTCTGTATTCTCAATATTATTATTATTTATTATTATCATCATCATCATCATCATCATCATCACCAGTTTTCAATTTATTATAGAACCACAAAGATAAATAAACAATAGCAAAAATTCAATCAGATATCTAACTAAAGGCAGGGCATGCAAAACCTAAACGAACTGAATAACACACAATCTAAGATCATGACAGCCACATTTCTCTAGAGGGCATGGGGATAGTTACCTATAAGTCTGAAACTAAGCTATATGAAATAAAATCCCTCCACACTGAGTAGAAATGACCAGAATATTCCTGTCCATTAGAGACCCATAGCTTATGTGTTACTTTTTTCTGCAGTAACCAAATTCCAAATATTTTTATACCATAATGATATTAGTCTTTGGGGTTGTTGTTTTTACGATTTCCATTGTTGTGCCATAGGGATCGCAGCAACATCTGTGTCGGATGTTCCTTCCGGCAAAATGTCTTCATGGTACATGTCCACGTATTTAGTAGGGAAAACAGAGGAGAAATCTGAATATGTGTTTTGATAATATCTAGTATCGCCTGATGAATTTTCTTCCAGAATAAAAGCGACCTGTGGGCATTCCCACCAGATATGGGGAAGGAAAATCCCTTTATTCCTGCAAGCTCTCTAACAGTTTGGTGAACAGATGTGGAATTCATAAGGAACATCTGCATGTGCAGATGCTGATTTTTTATGGCGTGGAAGAACTTTCCGGCCTGTTTCCTCTATGCCATCATTTTAAAGACATCCGCTACGTACCTGTCTTTGTTGCTTCTCTGGAGATCTGTGACTCAGCCTTTTGTGTCGCGCAGATGAAAAAACTGAAGCCTGCCTTTCCAGATATCATAGCCAGGGTGCACGAGGCGGACAGAGACATCAACGTGAAGGCTCTCAGGCTCCTGCCAGAACTCCTGAAGTGTCAGAGCAGGGAGGTGAACTCCCTCGCCATCGAGGTGGCCACCAGCGTGATGCCACTTTTTGACGACGTGAGTCAGGCCAGGTCAGGTGGGGCAGCACCCGTGGGTGCAGGGCAGGCCCCAGTGGCTGGGTGTAGAGTTGGTGGGAATGATCTCTTGGGGAACCACCCAATGTTTGTCTGTATCTACAGCTTTTCCCTGCCATTTTGTGCTGCACTTTCATCCCAGCACATATCAAGATATGAGCACCATCAACTTGGGTTTTTTTTACCCCCGAAATGCATACGTATCTCTATTATCGATACTTTGGGGGGCTGGGAGTTAAAGGAGATTGGAATATACTCGGAGTCAAGAGTGGATTCCATGCTCTTTATTCAGCTCATAGTGGTGAGGAGGAATGGAAGTTCCCCCAGAATGTCTGCTTTATATACATTATTTACACAATGGGCCCCACATGATTGGCTAATTCCCGGATTCTCCTGTAGGCCAATCAGGTTGCAGATTCACTTCCACCTGGAGCTGGATTGGGTGGCTCCTGTGGACCAATCAGACTGCTGCACTCTGGACCCTATTGTTCTAGGACCAATCAGACTGCTGCATTCTGAATCCTATTCAACTCAGTACATAACAGAGATGGAACTGGTTAGGAAAAGTACAGCCAAGTGTATCTTCAGAAGGGATGGGAGTTATTTCCTGGTGCAATCCTGCACCTGGCAATGGCATTCAGAATGGCCAGGGTCTGCTCCATCTGTTTTGCTGCCTGGGATGAAAATTTATGTCACCCAACTGAGCTGGATAGCTCAGTCGATATAGCAGGCATAGGCAAACCTGGCCCTCCAGATGTTTTGGGACTACAACTCCCATCATCCCTAGCTAAACAGGACCAGTGGTCAGGGATGATGGCAGTTGTAGTCCCAAAACATCTGGAGGGCCGGGTTTGCCTACGCCTGCAGTAGAGCACCATGTTGGGCAAAAGATTATTGCATTGCAGGAGTTTGGACTAGATGACCCTTGGGGTCCCTTCAAACACTACAATTCTACGATTCTCTCCCCACCTTTTCCTCCTCCTCCCGCTGTTGTATGCAAGACAGGATCAACTGTTCTTCCTCATATATTTCCCTCCCGCACCACAAGCCTTTTTCTGTGGTCCATACATACTCTAGCCAGACAAAAGCAGTGTGAAGCAGGGCCAGCGAGGGGGTGTGTGGCCTATGGAAGGTGGGTGTGGCCTGCAGAGAGTTCCAAGGGCCGGACAGAGCAGCCTGGAGGGCCAGAGTTCAGGGCTTGCGGTTCCTTAGCCCTTCCCTGGAGATCCGGGAGGAATTGTGTTTCCCTCCTGAGGGCGCTCACAGTCCTGACCCTGATCATTTCATGATTCTGGGGAGCTTATTGACTCTGCTGCTGCATCCCAGCTTGGGCTGGCCCTTGAAGGGGACAGCAGCCCTCCGCTTTCCCTGACGGCATTTCTCCCCCCTTCTCGGCACAGGCGTCCAACAAAGTGAGACTGGCTGCCATCTCCACCTTCAGCAACCTGTTTGAGATCGTCCAGTGGGGAGGCAAAGAGCAGATGAAGGCGCTCGCTCTCCAGAGCCTGGTCCCCCTGATGGTGCATCTCCAGGACAGTGTCCCAGTGAAGAAGGTAGGCTGACGCAGTTCATCAAAAAGCAGCAAATCTTAGCTAACACACCACCAATTACATGCCCTCTTAAACAATGCAGTAGTAACCTGGCCCTTGACAACCTTCAGAAACCTCCTCCTAACAACAAAATAAGGTAAAGGGACCTGACCATTAGGTCCAGTCGTGGCCGACTCTGGGGTTGCAGCGCTCATCTCACTTTATTGGCCGAGGGAGCCGGCATACAGCTTCCGAGTCATGTGGCCAGCATGACTAAGCCGCTTCTGGCGAACCAGAGCAGCGCACGGAAACGCCGTTTACCTTCCCACCAGAGTGGTACCTATTTATCTACTTGCACTTTGACGTGCTTTCGAATAGCTAGGTTGGCAGGAGCTGGGACCGAGCAACGGGAGCTCATCCCGTCACAGGGATTCGAACCGCCAACCTTCTGATTCGGAAGTCCTAGGCTCTGTGGTTTAACCCACAGCGTCATCCGCGTCCCATCTCCTAACAACAAAGGGATGGTATTTGCAATATGCAAAATACTACTACAAAATCCCACAAACCCCCTTTGTTGTTGTTGTTGTTTAGTTGTTTAGTCGTGTCCGACTCTTCGTGACCCCCTGGACCAGAGCACGCCAGGCACTTCTTTCTTCCACTGCCTCCCGCAGTTTGGTCAAACTCATGCTGGTAGTTTCGAGAACACTGTCCAACTATCTCGTCCTCTGTCGTCCCCTTCTCCTTGTGCCCTCCATCTTTCTCAACATCAGGGTCTTTTCCAGGGAGTCTTCTCTTCTCATGAGGTGGCCAAAGTATTGGAGCCTCAGCTTCAGGATCTGTCCTTCCAGTGAGCACTCAGGGCTGATTTCCTTCAGAATGGATAGGTTTGATCTTCTTCCAGTCCATGGGACTCTCAAGAGTCTCCTCCAGCACCATAATTCAAAAGCATCAATTCTTCGGCGATCAGCCTTCTTTATGGTCCAGCTTTCACTTCCATACATCACTACTGGGAAAACCATAGTTTTTACTATAGTGACCTTTGTTGACAAGGTGATGTCTCTACTTTTTAAGATGCTGTCTAGGTTTGTCATTGCTTTTCTCCCAAGAAGGAGGCGTCTTATAATTTCGTGGCTGCTGTCACCATCTGCAGTGATCAGAGAGCCCAAGAAAGTAAAATCTCTCACTGCCTCCATTTCTTCCCCTTCTATTTGCCAGGAGGTGATGGGACCAGTGGCCATGATCTTCGTTTTTTTGATGTTGAGCTTCAGACCATATTTTGCGCTCACAAACCCCCTAGACGTAATAAAAAATACCGGTAATAATGGGAGGCCGACATAGGCTATGAGATCAACCCCACCCAATGGACTAGAATGTGGTCTAAAGCTCCCTTCAAATCCATATCAGTGAAAAGGAAAGAACTCGCTTTGAAACTCACAGGTGGTACCTAACACCATGGAAACTAACGCTAATACGCCCAGGATCCTCACCAAAATGCTGGAGAGGATGCACCTCCACAGGAACATATCTCCACATGTGGTGGGAATGTCCCAAAATCCAACTCTTCTGGACAGCAATCATACAAAAGATATGCAAAATAACTAAGCAAGTATTAGAAGTCACCCCAGAACTGGCCCTACTAAACATCTTCCAAGACAATAATGCCCACTCACAACACAAAGTGCTCATAACCTGCCTACTCTCAGCAGCCAGAAGCATCATAGCCAGACACTGGAGAGACCTGTCAGGAGTAAGCATGGACCAATGGTACCCAATAGTATGGGAAACAGCCCTACTAGAAAAATTAACCAAAAAACTGAAACTGACACGGGGACAAACAGAAGACGCCTTCACCCCGGTATAGCTCCCCTTTATCACATACACAGCCCAACAAGACAACGACACAAATCCGCCAACAGCACACAAATCAATCTGGCTATCCTGATTCAAACACACACACACACCCTAGTCACACATGAAAACAACTTTCACTCCAGCCAATCAAAGACAACCAACCACACCCTAGGCCACCGCCAACCTCTCTCACCACTAAAGAAATACAAGCGAACAGTAAAGAGAACCCACACAAGTGACGCTGACACAAAACCCCACACATACACTAAGTAGAATAGAAGCATTGCCCCCCGACCCCACCCCACCCACCATTCCCCCTCCAACTCTTTCCCCCTTTTTTCCCTAATGTAACACTAATGTCTCACAACAAATGAAACTGATCTGTAGAAAACGGAACATGAAAAAAGAGACATTGCACATACTTTTGTAAACCAAGAAATCTTTAATAAAAATATATTTTAAAAAAGGGGGAAAAGAAAGCAGCAAGGCCTCTCGGCTAGGATGTCAGCATCTGGTGTCCAGGCCCTCATTCCATTAGCGCAACGATTTAGGCTTGTCAATGGCGGAGCTAGCCACTCGGGCACCCGGAGCGGAGATCCGCCCATGGGGGCAGGCCGATCCACCCTCGGGGGCAATCCGCGAGGTGGCATGATCCGGTGGGGGGCCAATCGCAGCCCGATCCTCCCGGAGGGGGGCTGATCGCGGTGTGGTTGTGCAATCCTCCCGGCAGGGTGGTTTTTTATATATTTTTTGTGGTGAACTGCCCCAAGATTTATGGAAGTAGGGCTGTATATTAGTTATTATTATTATTATTATTATTATTATTATTATTATTAATTTATTCTTCAATATTCTGCCTGAGTTTTCAGCAGCTGCAGTGGCAGAAGCTGTTACTCCCACCCTCACTTCTTTTACAGATGTGTTGGATCACTCTGAGAAGAGCTGACAAGTTTCTGAAATCCTTCATCCAGTTGTCCATCCGGGAAAACGAAACCTGGAACTTCTGCAAAAGTCTTGTGAGCGCCTCTTGTTTATATTGCTTTTCAGGGAGTGGGCAGCCAGAGAGCGATGAGGGAAAAATTGGGTTTTGATGTTACTGTTGTTGTTACATTATGTATTTTGTGTTTTTATACTAAAAACCACCCTGTGATCCTTGGTTGGCATATAAATTGAATGAATAAATAAAAATGCACATATTGGTGGAAATAGCCTGCATTGTACAGCAGAAAAGTGCTTTGGGGGAAAATGTTTGCATACAAATATGTGCCTATTTGGGCTTAGGCTGGGTGTTCATCAGTATGCAGATGATACCCAGCTCTACCTCTCTTTTAAATCGGAACCAGTGAAGGCGGTGAAGGTCCTGTGTGAGTGCCTGGAGGCGGTTGGAGGATGGATGGCGGCTAACAGATTGAGGTTGAATCCTGACAAGACAGAAGTACTGTTTTGGGGGGTCAGGGGGTGGGCGGAGGTGGGGGATTCCCTGATCCTGAATTGGGTACCTGTGCCCCTGAAGGACCAGGTGCGCAGCCTGGGAGTAATTTTGGACTCACAGCTGTCCATGGAGGCACAGGTCAATTCTGTGTCCAGGGCAGCTGTTTACCAGCTCCACCTGGTACATAGGCTGAGACCCTCCCTGCCCGCTGTCTGTCTCACCAGAGTGGTGCATGCTCTGGTTATCTCCCACTTGGACTACTGTCATGCGCTCTACGTGGGACTACCTTTGAAGGTGACCCAGAAATTGCAACTAATCCAGAATGCGGCAGCTAGACTGGTGACTGGGAGTGGTCGCCAAGACCATATAACACTGGCCCTAAGATTCAAAGTGTTGGTACTGACCTTTAAAGCCCTAAATGGCCTCGGCCCAGTATACTTGAAGGAGCGTCTCCACCCCATCGCTCAGCCTGGGCACTGAGATCCAGCACCGAGGGCCTTCTGGTGGTTCCCTCACTGCAAGAAGTGAGGTTACAGGGGACCAGGCAGAGGGCCTTCTCGGTAGTGGCACCCGCCCTGTGGAAGGCCTTCCCATCAGATGTCAAGGAAATAAACAACTATCTGACTTTCAGAAGACATCTGAAGGCAGCCCTGTTTAGGGAAGTTTTTAATGTTTGATGTTTTATCATGTTTTTAATATTCTGCTGGGAGCCGCCCAGAGTGGCAGGGGAAACCCAACCAGATGGGCAGGGTAGAAATAATAAATTGTTGTTGTTGTTGTTGTGAGAAATTCGCACAGCAATACTGCTGAATTTTCATGAAGACTTATTAAAATAAAATAATAATAATAGTAATAATTTTTATTTATATCCCGCCCTCCCCGCACGAAGCCGGGCTCAGGGCGGCTAACAACAATAATAAAATAATAAATAAAATAATAATAATAATAACAAGCAAACAAACAATAAAAAACAGCTAATAATAGTAATTGCAAACTGATGTGGCAGTGTAGAAAACTGAACTTAAGGGTAGAGGATTGAGAGATTGAGAGGAACCAGAACAGGCAAGTCCACCTTTGCCTCCTCCTGTATTCCCTTCTCTCTGCAGAAGACTATTCACGCAGTGCATGGTTAAACTATGGAACTCCCTCCCACAGGAGTTAGTAACGGTCACTGACCTGAATGTCTTCAAAGAGGATTAGAAGAATTCATGGGGGAGAGGGCTGTTTTATGGCAACTAACCTTGATGGCTGTGCTCTGTTGGAGACAGCCACGCTTCTGAAACCCAGTTGCTGGGAACCACAGGAGGGGAGAGTTGGTCTTGTGTTCAAATCCTGCTTGTGGGTTTCCTAGAAGAGTCATCTGGTCGGCTCCTGGGAGAACACGATGCTGGACTAGATGGACTGCTGGCCTGGTCCAGTACGTTCTACTGATGTTCTTGTGCAAGACTGGTAGACTTGGGTTGATCCTGCCCAGGCTCCATCCTTGCTCTTGAGGAATGGCATGCATTAGAAGGAAGGGAGAATTTCCTCACACAGCTCCCTTCTCTTTTGGACCTGCCTCCCAGGTGAAGCGCTACAGAGAACAAGGGGAAGCCATCCTTCTGGATCAGGCCTTTGCTTACCTGGAAAACCCCCGAACCGCTTTGAGAGATGGAGCCATCAGGCTGTTAGGCAAGTTATGTTTATTATGAAATTATTGGGCGGTCATTTATTAGTAATGCACATGGTGCTTCAGACAATGTTTCTGGGAAACAACAGCAGCAGAGGGCAGTTCCCTGCCCTTTAAAACTTCCAGATCTCCTGCTTATTTAGCACGTGTGGGGAGTATGTGGCGCTGCCCAGGGAATTTTTTGAAACCCCAAAATACTGTGCTTTTTTAAAATGGATAGTGTGATTTGTGAGATTGGACCCATCACATCATAAAGCAGGTGAAGTCACACTGAACTTGGTCTGCCATCTTTGATTCAAAATGGCGCCCGGGATCCCAATGTCCACAAAAACTGCCGCACCCGCCTCAAGAGCTCTCACGGCGAGTTTGGCGGCAATATCTTGAGAGCTGGCCATACTTATGCCAAACAAGGAGGTACAGTCACGGCAAAGTCACATTTGGGGCTGCCATCTTGATTCAAAATGGTGCCTAGAACCTACACCCTTCACGCTCCCTTTGGCCTGTGGAGACATGTGCTCTGCCATTGGGCTACCACAGTTCCCTTGGTGGTGCCGGAATAGGGAGCAAGGAGTCGGCTCACCTAAAGTGTGTTCACCCTGTAAAAAGGTAAAGGTAAAGGGACCCCTGACCATTAGGTCCAATCGTGAACGACTCTGGGGTTTCGGCGCTCATCTCGCTTTATTGGCCGATGGAGCCGGCGTACAGCTTCCGGGTCATGTGGCCAGCATGACTATGCTGCTTCTGGTGAACCAGAGCAGCGCACCTTCCCGCCGGAGCGGTACCTATTTATCTACTTGCACTTTGACGTGTTTTTGAACTGCTAGGTTGGCAGGAGCTGGGACCGAGCAACGGGAGCTCACCCTGTCGTGGGGATTCGAACCGCTGACCTCCTGATCAGCAAGCCCTAGGCTCTGTGGTTTAACCCACAGCGCCACCCGTGCCCCTGTGTTCACCCTGTAGCCCCTGGCAAAACCTGTTGCTGGCATCTCTCCGTGCTTCAACATTTGTTTGTCATTCGGGGAGTGGCAGCCCTTTCTGACCAAGCACACGGCGGGCATTTCTATCCCTAGAAATCATCGCTCAGGAGTCAAAGCACCAAGGAACAGTAAATGCCATTGTGACCGGTGAGTAGGAATGATGTTTGGGTGCCTCTGCCCTGCCCAAGTCTGGCTCTGCCACCTCCTTTTCTGACTCTACTTTCTTCTTTTTTGCACTGGATTTATACTCCACCTTTTTTTCTCGAAGGAGCTCAAGGGGGCATTTGTGGTGGTCCCCCTCCTCAATTAATCATGACAACGGCCCTGTGAAGTACAGTAGGTTAGGCTGCGAGTGGGTGGCCCAAGGTCTCTTGAGCAGAAGATTGGGGGGCGATGGCATGTAAATAATGTGCACAGGATGGTGGGTGGAGCCAGGGGGGGTGAGGCCAAATGCCGCAACAGTACGGATTGTTCTCAACATTGAGGGGACCTGGCTCCCTGTTATGTACTGAGTTGGTATATTTCACTCCCCCCAAAAATTGTATTGGGGGGCCCAAAGGAACCTGGCCCCCTTAGAGTTGGTATCTGTCCTTTGTATGCATGGTCTTCATTGCAGGAAGTTCCCTTCTCCACCTTTTCACAACTAGGTCCCAGGATGGGTTACAGCAATGTAACCAAGTAGTTATAAATAAAAGGAAAAGTGTTTCAGTTATAAAACTCTGCATATTTCTTTAGTGTCTTGATGGAATTATTTTATTGTGCATCTTGATTATGAGTGTATGTGCATATCTATACAGTGGTACCTCTGGATGCAAACGGGATCTGTTCCGGAGCCCCGTTCGCATCCTGAAGCGAACGCAACCACGTCCGCACGTCTGCGCATGCGTGGGTCGCAATTCACCGCTTCCGCACATGTGCGTGACATCATTTTGAGCGTCTGCGCATGCGCGAGTGGCGAAACCCAGAAGTAACGTGCTCTGTTATTTCTGGGTTGCCCCGGATCGCAACCCGAAAAGGCTTAACCTGAAGCGACTTCAACCCGAAGTATGACTGTATCTAGATAGATATATCATGGCTTAACACTTGTAAACTGTTTAGAAGCCACCTTGGCAACCAAGTTGTGTGTAAATCAGCAAATAATGCTAATAATTCTAAAAATATATTTAAAAAAGAAAAAGAAAAAAGGAAGCAGTGAAAGCGTCTCTCTGTGGCTGTTCTCTGTGTTTTCCTTTCCCTCCTCACTTAGTCCTGGATCTTGTGAAAGTGGAAAATAAATCATCCCACCTCAAAACGGCGGTATCCGACATAACGGAGGCCTTGGGGCAAGAGGAGCAGCCTTCGGGAAACTTCCTGGGAAGATGCGTCAGCAGACTCAGAAGGATCTGGAAAAGATAGAAGCTTTTCCTCTGGAAAGGGGTGGGGGGAAAGGTAAAATTTGGGCAGGGAATGAATCACTTGGTGGGGGCTGTTCTCTCTTCCTTTCCCCCCCCCCCCCCGACAAATTTGGACTAACTGTTGCTGGCAGCCATCTTTTTTAAAATAAAAACCAAAAAAAAAATTTTTTTATTGGTTTTTAGACAAATACAATAACAATAACCATTAAACATCCAGCAAGTGTTTGTTCTATCCATAGACTTTAGACACAAGCTCACATTCAGTGTTCAAACCTATTACTTAAAGTAACCTCCCCACAGAGAAGGCTGAGCAGCTGTTATAGTAAGGTCTTGTTATTCCTTTATTTCCTTCATTTTGATCCCGCCCTTCTTCCCAAAGGAGCCCAGGAGGGCAAACGGAACAATTTAACAAACGAATATTTTAAAAACAGCCTGGCAGACAGCAAGTGATGAATTCCTGAATGAGCTACGCAGGAGCGCCTAGTCTGGCATCAGCTCATGTTGGTTTTCACAGCCTCTCCTTCCGCAGACTTTGGGGAGGGAAGGAGCTTTGTAGACTCCAGTGTAGAAGTTCTCCCCTTCTCCCATGCCTTCAGTGTGGGTTAGGCTGGTTTTGCAGACAGTCCCTCTCGAGGGCTGAACCCCATCAGGACCCACCACCGTACAGTTTTGACCACCACCTTTCAACCCAAGCATCCCCTCTCCCCTACAATTCTGGTTTCCCAGCAATCGACTCAAATCACAGGGGAGCTCAAGGTCTGGAGGGGAAGGGACCAAACGTCCCACGGAGTGGTCCACATACAGCGTCCTTTTCTCCTGTAAACTCAGGTACCTGTGTCTTCTACTCCTGCTCGCCTGCCCCACCAGACCTTGTTCAGCCATGACTTGTCTCCATCTCAGCCTTGACTCACCCAAGCTATCTTCCATCCCAGGCCTGCTCCGCCAGAAACCAGCTCCATCTCAATCCAGTAGCCACCACCACAGGTTTGTTGCTGTTGGTTTGCCAGGGCCGATTCCCTGTTTCCACTCCCTGGGCTTTGACCAGGCCAGTTGTTCCTCGTTGCCTGCCTTGGCGCTTGGGTTTGAATCATGCGTCTGATCCTGCCTACGGCGTCCGGATCCACTTCCACCCCAAATTTCTACTGGGTGTTTTAATCTCTGCCTTCTTTGGGTTCCTCTCCCCAACAACACCTCATAAAACTCCCTGACTTTGCTCTACTTACAGAACAGGTGTCTCTTCAGCTATCCCAGGTGAGAAATCGGCCATTGTTCTCTCTAAGAACTTTGCTCAGTTCCCCCTAATAATCCATTTGTGCTTTTCATCCTCTGCGGTGTCTCAATTCCAATGAAATTTCTGGGATATGCTTATTGTGAAGACAAAGCTTTTCATCCTCAAATCCCTCCATTATTTTATGTATTCATGTGTGTATTGCAGTATTGATGTCCGGCCTTTCAGTACTAAGGCGTGTTCAAGGTGGCCTACAAAATAAATGATGTGAAAATAAGCTGAAGTGTAGTCTCTGATTTTATGTGCTGGCACATCCCAGCATGTGACCTTTGTTGCTCCATCTTCACCATCCAGTGGTCTCCTGCAATTTCAGAAGACTCTGCCCTCCTTCTTTCTCCACGAGGCCTTTGGCACAACCCCTGTAGCAACGCTTAAGGATGTGTAGCTGAAATGGTTATGCGTTCTTCCCATTTACTAGGGATGGTGGAGGAATTCGCTTTGGATTTTAACATGAACCACATAGTCACCCTCCATAGAATTGCGTGATGCAGTTCTCTAACCAAATATTTTGGAGGGAGGAACGTATATTACGGGAAAGTGCCCCCCCAAATGCATCTATTAGTGAACATCACACAAAAAATGTGTCACACTGGGAGAAAATGCTTACAAAAATGTGTATATTAGGCAATACAGTGGTACCTCGGGATGCGAATGGGATCCGTTCCGGAGCCCCGTTTGCATCCTGAATGCAACATAGGCCGTGATAGCGCGTCTGCGCGTGCGGCATTTTGCCGCTTCCGTGCATGTGCGTGACATCATTTTGAGCGTCTATGCATGCGCGAGCAGCGAAACCCGGAAGTAACGCGCTCCGTTATTTCCGGGTTGCCGCGGAGTGCAATTCGAACGCGCTCAACCCGAAGCACATTCAACCCAAGGTATGACTGTATTGCATTAGAAATATTAGGGGAAATTCACACTAAGATGTGGACTGGAGGTTTTTAAGCAGAGTCATGGATGCATTAGTTAAGATTCCTGCATTGCAGAGGGTTGGACTAGATGACCATCGGGGTCCCTTCCCTCTCTACGATTCTATGATTCTACGAAGATGCTGGTGAATTTTCATGAGGGCTTTTCCCCTTTTTCAAATAAAATCACAAACTGGCCTGGAAAGGTGGAGTTAAGAATCTAAGGCTGGAAAGAACGAGAAACCAAAATTGGCCGCTCTGTCCATCCCTATCCTTGCCCCCAGGTTCTCCTCGTGCTAAGGGCCTTGATCCTTCCCAGCATTACGGCTGGGATAATAACTGCAGACAGAAGTAACGAGGTGTTGAAGGCATTTTATTCAGCAAAGTTGATCATTTCAGCCTGAACGGATTTGGAAGCCGTTTCCCCATTCAGCTCCTGCATAAAACAGAGGAGCAAAAAGGAGTCCGGTGGGCGAATCATTGACGTTGATCTGCGGCGAAACAAGGTCTGGAGGAGGAGGAGGAGGAGGAGATCTCAATCTGGAAGGTAAAGAAAGTGGGAGCATCATTATCCGCTTCTAAAGAAACGTCAGCATCTCTGCCTTGTGACAGGTAACTGGAGTAAGGCAAATTGATTCTATTTCTGGTTCTCAGACTTTTGAGGGAAATCTTTGCCTATTCTGCTGTGTGTTGCTGATGACCCCGGTACGTGTCAATTTACACAGTGTTGGCAAGGTTTACGGTGCCCCCATGAACCCTGGAACGCTCTTCCCTTTGCAAAAGAAGACCAGAAAGCTGCATTTAAAGGAAGTTTCCCCCCTCACCCCTCTTTTTACCCAGATAAAGTTTCTAAGGAATTGAATATAGACCGAGGTGATTATCTGAGAATAACAACCCTGAGATGGCAACCTCTGAGTCCTGTATTATGCTAACGAAGTCTCCTTGCTTAGGGGATCCCGTGCCCTTTCACAGTGCAAACCTTACGTTCTTCTTTTTTTTTTAAGAATATTTATTAAGGTTTTTAATACAATAACAGTAAAAAGGAAAAGGCAGAGTAAAAAATAATAACAAAAATACAGAAAAAAAATAATTAAAAAGAAAAGGAAAAAAAAACATGCAGATTTTCCATTTCTCATTTTCCTTTAACATGTTTCCCGGACCTCCTCATACCTCCCTTTTTTGTATTCCAATTCAAATTGTTAGTTCAGCAAATCCTTACCATTAAGTTTTAACCTGTTTCTAAACCTGTTTCTCATGTTCCCTTAAAACATTACAGCTGGAAACCACTTAATTTCTATCCAACATCATTCTAACATTCATTAATTTTACAATATTTCTGTAAGTAATCTTTAAATTTCTTCCAATCTTCTTCCGTCGACTCTTCTCCCTGGTCTCGGATTCTGCCCGTCATTTCTGCCATTCCCATATAGTCCATCACTTTCATCTGCCATTCTTCCAGAGTTGGTAAATCTTGTGTCTTCCAGTACTTTGCAATAAGTATTCTTGCTGCTGTTGTAGCATACATAAAGAAAGTTCTATCCTTCTTTGGCACCAATTGGCCGACTATGCCCAGGAGAAAGGCCTCTTCAGGAAGGTATATTTAAATACCTTTTTCATTTCATTATAGATCATCTCCCAGAAAGCCTTAATCTTTGGGCACGTCCACCACTTTTTTTTTCACAGTGCAAACCTTAGGTTCTTTGGGAACTGATATACAATGAATTGGGGGGGAAATGTTTAAAACAACATTTGTCAAAAAACCAGAAGCCTTTGTATTAGGAATTACAGGTGCCAACATCCCAAAAGACCAGAAAAGACTGTTCATGTATGCGACAACAGCTGCAAGGATGCTACTAGCCCAAGGATGGAAGGAACCAACAGTCTCTATCAAGGAAGAGTGGCAAGCCAAACTGCTGGACTACCGTATTTTTCGCACGATTGGACGCACCGGACCATAGGACGCGCCTAGTTTTTTTGGGGGGGAAATAAAGGAAAAAAATTTTCCCTTTATTTCCCCCCCAAAAGCAGGTCAGGGAAACCGAACCAGGTCGAGGAACAGCGGGATAGTGGCGCTGCGCCTCCCTGCTGTCCCCCGAGCTTGTGGGGCTGGCTGATGTCTGCCTAGCGCGCGGGGTGCTCTGCTTCAGGGCGCCCCACCCGCCGGGTGGCAGGCTGCTATCCGCAGCGTGGGGAGCCTTGCGGGGAGCTCCTGCAAGGGTCCCCACGCTGTGGATGTGTTCCCGAAGCGCCGGGAGCTCTGCTTTCAGGGCGCCCGACGCTCCGGGAAGCAGGCTGCTATCCGCAGCCTAGACACGGCTAGCAGAGCGCTAATCCCGGAGCTTGGGGCGTGCGGAGCTCAGCGCGCCCCAAGCTTCTGGGCGCCGGCAAGGTCTCCGCTAGCCGTCTAGCGGAGACCTTGCCGGCACCCAGAAGCTTGGGGCGCGCTGAGCTCCGCACGCCCCAAGCTTCGGGATTAGCACAGTGGTCCGCTAGCCCTGGGAGAGCCACGCGACGTCGCAGGGCTCTCCCAGGGCTAGCGGAGACCTTGCCGGCACCCAGAAGCTTGGGGCGCGCTGAGCTCCGCACGCCCCAAGCTTCTGGATTAGCGCAGTAGTCCGCTAGCCCTGGGAGAGCCACGCGACGTCGCGGGGCTCTCCCAGGGCTAGCGGAAACCTTGCCAGCACCCAGAAGCTTGGGGCGCGCTGAGCTCCGCACGCCCCAAGCTTCTGGATTAGCGCAGTGGTCCGCTAGCCCTGGGAGAGCCGCGCGACGTCGCGGGGCTCTCCCAGGGCTAGCAGAGGCCTTGCCGGCACCCAGAAGCTTGGGGCGCGCTGAGCTCCGCATGCCCCAAGCTTCTGGATTAGCGCAGTGGTCCACTAGCCCTGGGAGAGCCACGCGACGTCGCGGTGCTCTCCCAGAGCTAGCGGAGACCTTGCCGGCACCCAGAAGCTTGGGGCGCGCTGAGCTCCGCACGCCCCAAGCTTCGGGATTAGCGCAGTGATCCGCTAGCCGTGGGAGAGCCGCGCGACGTCGCGGGTCTCTCCCAGGGCTAGCGGAGACCTTGCCGGCACCCAGAAGCTTGGGGCGCGCTGAGCTCCTCACGCCCCAAGCTTCGGGATTAATGCAGCGCTCCGCTAGCGGTGGGAGAGCTGGGTCTCCCACTGCTAGCGGATAGCTTCCTGAAGCCTGGAGAGCGAGAGGGGTCAGTGCACACCGACCCCTCTCACTCTCCAGGCTTCAGCGAAAGCCTGCATTCGCTCCATAGGACGCACACACATTTTCCCTTGCTTTTTAGGAGGGAAAAAGTGCGTCCTATGGTGCGAAAAATACGGTACTACACAGAAATGGCAAAACTGCCTGGGAGACTCAGGAATCAAGAAGATAATGACTTTAAAAAAGAATGGGGGAAATTCACAACTTATTTAGGAGACCATTGTAAACAAATAAAGTTAGCTGGACTTTAAAAATAACTTGTAAAGAAACGAAAGACATGGATAATTTAGAGAGATGAAAACTGTGGAGAAGGTAATGATACGTAGTTTTAGGGGGAAAGTATTTTAGGACCCCAGAGGATGGTGGGGAAGTCATGAGATTCAGAGCACCTCATATATGGATATGTTAAAAGTTTTTTCTTTTCATTATTTTAAATTTGTTCTTGCAAAAACCAATAAAAAATATTTCAAATAAAAGGTTCTTAACAAGCCTAAGTAAAAAGGTGCTTTGCCCTTAAATAAGTTGGACTCCATTGCTTCCCCATAAAAGCTTTTTCTCACTGAGTGCAAGCTTTCTGCGTACTTGGAAGCAAGAAAAATGCCACGCATGAAGCACAGGTTATGTGCAAACATGTGCACACACACCAAATCCCCTGTATTCCTGCACACCCCACCCATTCTTACCTCTGTCTTCCTCTGATTTGCTGTCCACCTTCTCTTCCGATGAAGTCGCTGCTGTTAAAAAAGTAAAAGATCAAACACTGGTTTATGCCAACGCCACACAGTATATCCACCTGACTTGTATGTTGGTGACGGCAGAGGGTTCATCAACAGGAATAAGAATCAGAAGCTCAGCTGATGCCCAGGCCCCAAATATTGGAGGACGCTGGTCTTCACTGCAGAGCCACACATGCGCCCAGTTCATTCAGTAGGGCAGGGCTAGCCTGCATAATGGTGCCCTCCCGTCCATCTGGAGGGCGTCATGTTGACTACCCCTGCATTGGGGCCTTCAACTCATGCAGAGAACCATGTCTGGTTTGGAGGGAGGAAAATGAAGGATCAACTTGTCCTTCAGCCATAAAATATCTCCAGCTGTCAGGGAATGGTCTGGATCTGAAGATTGGGGAATGCAGTTGCAGGCGGATCAACTCCACTCAGAAGAGGAGGGGGAATATTTGTGTGCCCCCCGCCTCCAGCGTTTTCAGAAGCAGAGAGAGAGGCCGACACAGACTTAGAAGCTGAACAGATTAGGGAGGAGTTACCCAGCTACGAGATAATGAGAAGGGAGCCAGAAGGGAGGGGACAGCTGGGAGACACATCAGCTGATAGTATGGGGGAAAAACCCCTCCCGACGGACTCTGAGGTCCAAACGTATCAGAGATCAAAACAGGCAGAGAGGGGGAGGAACATCCCGTTGGAGTGCTCCTTGCGTCAGAATGAGGATTCAGAGTAGGCAACGGATCTCCTTGCGGAGGGTTGTCTGTGCTTGCAACACGATGCTGTAATAAAAGGACTATAAATCTATCAACTGCTCGTTAATTCTTATCTGTGAGCTACTGAAGGGAGAGGGGAACTTCCACGCTTGACACCGGCTGACCTTGGGCAACTCAGCCTCCTTGGGCTGTCATGAGGACAAAATGATGTTGTGCATTGACATGCTTTGTCGATATCCTTTATTTTTATGTCATTGCTTATGCTTGTTCTTTGTACTGCTGAAGGAAAACTTAAAAACTATGCATGAGAGAGAGAGAGAACCCCCCTCAAAAAAAAAATTGCACACATTTGCACACTGCAAATTGCACACTGGAGGCAGTGAGAGATTTTACTTTCTTGGGCTCCATGATCACTGCAGATGGTGACAGCAGCCACGAAATTAAAAGACGCCTGCTTCTTGGGAGAAAAGCAATGACAAACCTAGACAGCATCTTAAAAAGTAGAGACATCGCCTTGCCAACAAAGGTCCGTATAGTTCAAGCTACGGTTTTCCCAGTAGTGATGTATGGAAGTGAGAGCTGGACCATAAAGAAGGCTGATCACCAAAGAATGGATGCTTTTGAATTCTGGTGCTGGAGGAGACTCTTGAGAGTCCCATGGACTGCAAGAAGATCAAACCTCTCCATTCTGAAGGAAATCAGCCCTGAGTGCTCACTGGAAGGACAGATCCTGAAGCTGAGGCTCCAATCCTTTGGCCCCCTCATGAGAAGAGAAGACTCCCTGGAAAAGACCCTGATGTTGGGAAAGATGGAGGGCACAAGGAGAAGGGGACGACAGAGAACGAGATGGTGGGATAGTGTTCTCAAAGCTACCAGCATGAGTTTGACCAAACTGCGGGAGGCAGTGGAAAACAGAAGGTGTGCTCTGGTCCATGGGGTCACGAAGAGGCGGACATGACTAAACGACTAAACAACAACAACAACAACAAAACGTGTGCAATCCATTTTGCATCCTGTGGATAGGGCAGAATGAATGAACGCCATCTGCTATTGATCCCAAGAACTCTGTCCCTGCCTTGCAAAGATCAAGTGCTCACCCCGGATTGGAGGCCTGTATCCATCACAGCCGATCTTTGGCCTTTTCTGGCTGTACTTATCACAGAACTGGAGGTCTCCGGTCTGGTTACAGCACCAGTCATATAATTTCAACTCTTCGTCTGCAAACAGGAATTGCGAGAAAGAAAGGAAAGGAAATTATCAGAGCCTGATTTGGAAATATTTCAGACCAAGAGCCTGACTTGGACAGAAGGTGGGAGATTCTGCTGCGAGATTCTGCTGTGGTGGAGTCTCCTTCTTTGGAGGTCTTTAAGCAGAGGCTTGACAACCATATGTCAGGAGTGCTCTGATGGTGTTTCCTGCTTGGCAGGGTGTTGGACTCGATGGCCCTTGTGGTCTATTCCAACTCTATGATTCTATGATTTTATGATTCATAAGGTTATCAATGACCACTAGTCATGATGGCCATTTTCTACCTCACAGTCAGAGGCTCTATGCCGCACAATATCTTTTGCTGGAAATGGCAAGAGGGCAGAGTGCCCTTGCGCTCAATTCCGGCTTGCTGGTCTCCCACAAAGATCTGGCTGGCCACTGTGAGAACAGGATGCTAGACTACATGGACCATTGGCCAGATCCAGTAGGGCTTGTGTTCGTCTACTAGAGTTAAGGATACAAACACTTGCGTTCTACTGTGGGATAAGCAGCTTCATGTAACCAACTTGCTAGTGCATGAAGGCGTTAATACTATAGAGTAAGCTGTCCTGCCTGGCTTAGCTAAGTTCACTCCCTCTCACCTTGGAAGGAACTAGACAATCAAGCCTTTGTTTCCCTTCCAGTCTCCCTGATGAGCTCAGCTCTCTCAAGCCATTCTTGTGTTCCTATGCCCATAATTTAGGATCTTTTACCACTTTCCGACTAGGTCAGGTTTTATTGCCTGTGCAACTTTTCTGACTGATGCATGGAAAAGCACATGAACCTGACCTTTGAAGAGTTTGTAAGTAAAACATTTTTTAAACTTGCAAAATGTGTGGTCTTTTCCTTGTGGGGAAGAGGGAAGTTTTGGAGCTCACAAAGGCATAGTTTAAAGATCTAACAACCTATAGTTCCACACTTTGTGATTTTAAATCTCTGCTGGGGTTCTCTCACCATAGAGTACTTGCCCTAAACCGGGATCTTGTCACCCAGGGAATTCTCCTTTTTTATATATGTATATTACATTTCCCCCTCCTCCTGCACCAACACCTACAACCTCTTGTTAACTTGATAACTTGTGGATATCTTCAGGCAGATAACCGTTGCACAGCCTCCAAAGTACAGCTTACCGCTGTTGGGGGAGCGTCTCGAACCCTTCCAGACTCTTTCCTGGTGACCTTCCACAAGCTGGTTCTTGCTGTTATAAAGACACCGGACCCCAGCACCGTACTTGTTTGGGGCAGAGGAATACAGCATGGTTAAGCGAGAGTCCGGCAAACCTGCAAAGGTTAAAGATGTTAGTTCTGCATTACAGATCTTCAGGAGGGGGCGGGTGTGCAGGAAAAGAAAGGGACCGTTCTTAAACCCTTCAAATTTCCCCAGCTGAAAAGACCCCTCTTGTACACCTCTATCCTTACACCATGGATCACTGCTTCAAACATCCCCCAACTCCATTATTACACAACACTGATAGGCCATACCTTCAGGTATATTGGGCCTTGGCCCAGTATACCTGAAGGAGCGTCTCCACCCCCATCGTTCTGCCCGGACGCTGAGGTCCAGCTCCGAGGGCCTTCTGGCGGTTCCCTCACTGTGAGAAGCAAAGCTACAGGGAATCAGGCAGAGGGCCTTCTCGGTGGTGGCGCCCGCCCTGTGGAACGCCCTCCCATCAGATGTCAAGGAAATAAACAACTATATGACCTTTAGAAGACATCTTAAGGCAGCATTGTTTAGGGAAGATTTTTATGTTTGATTCTATTTTGAATCGTCTGCTGGGAACCGCCCAGAGTGGCTGGGGAAACCCAGCCAGATGGGCCAGGTTTAAATAAATTATTATTATTATTATTATTATTATTATTATTATTATTATTATTATTATTATCTACAAGGCAGGAGGACCCATGTAGGGGCATCAGAAATTATGACAATGCAGAGAGAAATGGATGGGCATGCAAAGCTGCCGTAAAGGTAAAGGGACCCCTGACCATTAGGTCCAGTCTTGACCAACTCTGGGGTTGCGGCGTTCATCTTGCTTTACTGGCCGAGGGAGCCGGCGTACAGCTTCCGGGTCATGTGGCCAGCATGACTAAGCCGCTTCTGGTGAACCAGAGCAGCGCATGGAAACGCCGTTTACCTTCCCGCCGGAGCGGTACCTATTTATCTACTTGCACTTTGACGTGCTTTCGAACTGCTAGGTGGGCAAGAGCAGGGACCGAGCAACGGGAGCTCACCCCGTCGCAGGGATTCAAACTGCCGACCTTCTGATCGGCAAGTCCTAGGCTCTGTGGTTTAACCCACAGCGCCACCCGTGTCCCTAAAGCTGCCTTACACCAAGCCGAAACACTGGTCCATCTCACTCAGCATTGTCTACAGTGGTTCTCCAAGGTTTCTTGCATTTCGCAGGGGTGGACGCTGCACGAAAGCGTGCTTCGCCATGGAGCTATGGGGTCGACGTCATTTGAGCCACACAGCAACCGAACTGGAGAGCTGCTTTCGATGCATTCAGTGGTCCGAGATTGGCTTAAATCCAAGCAGTGTGTCCGAGTCACAGGGCTGGCCACGCACCTTTTTTGCTGCGGGAGAAGCGATCGTCCGACAGCCCCTGTTGCAGAGAGCAAGGGCAGGGAGGCAGGTCCTTGTTCCAGGCAGATGGCTGCCCCTCATGGCTAAGCCAGTCGAGGCACCGCTGCCTGTAGTTCACCCGGATGCGGCTGTCCAACTTGTATACCCAGAGACCACGCACACCTGGAAGGAGGGTGCAAGAAAACGGGAGGGAAATCAAGGGCGTGAAGCTTAATTTACTTACCGTATTTTTTGCTCTATAAGACTCATTTTTCCCCTCCTAAACAGGGGAAATGTGTGTGCGTCTTATGGAGCGAATGCAGGCTGCGCAGCTATCCCAGAAGCCAGAACAGCAAGAGGGATTGCTGCTTTCACTGCGCAGCGATCCCTCTTGCTGTTCTGGCTTCTGAGATTCAGAATTATTTTTTTTCTTGTTTTCCTCCTCCAAAAACTAGGTGCGTCTTGTGGTCTGGTGCGTCTTATAGAACGAAAAATACGGTACATCCCCACCTAGCTGCCCTAAGTCTATCGAACTCCTTCCTGATCTCTGCCATCATCCTGGTATAACGTAACGGAATAATCTAAGTGTGTGTTGGGACTCCCGTCCTGACCTGGACCACGATTTTAGTGAGAAGCTTTTAACTGCTCCGAAAAGTTTCAGAAGAGGCCAGCCAAAATGATCAAGGGGGTGAAGGAATTCCCCTTCGAGGAACGGTTGCAGCATTTGGGACTTTGTGGTTTAAAGAAAAAGGGAGCGAGAGAAGACATAATAGAAGTTCACGAAATGATGCAAAGGTTTTTCTATCTCTCTCACGATGCTAAAATTTGTGGGCACTCAAGGAAGCTGAATGTTGGAAGGACAGAGAAAAGGAAGTCCTCCTTCACGCAGCTTGAGCGTTTCCCTTAGGGGCATCTTTTGGGTCACTGTGGGGACAGGATGCTGGACTAGGTGGGCCATTGGCCTGATCCAGCAGGCTCTTCTTATGTTCTTAAAGGCCAAAGGTTGCAACTCTGCACCCCAATGCTAGAACCAGGAAACAAAAGCACATTTGAAAGAGGCTGTTTAGAACAGGGGTCAGCAACCTTTTTCAGCCGTGGGCCGGTCCACCGTCCCTCAGAGCATGTGGTGGGCCAGACTATATTTTGGGGTGGCGGGGGGGGGGGAATGAAGGAATTCCTATGCCCCACAAATAACCCAGGGATGCATTTTAAATAAAAACACACATTCTACTCATGTAAAAACACCAGGCAGGCCCCACAAATAACCCAGAGATGCATTTTCTACTCATGTAAAACATGCTGATTCCCAGACCATCCCCAGGCCAGACTGAGAAGGCAATTGGGCCACATCCGGCCCCCAGGCCTTAGGTTGCCTACCCCTGGTTTAGAAGCTTCTAATTTTCAGACCCTCTAAGAGTCCCTCTTTTACAGGGACAGTCCCGGATTTACAGAAGCCGTTCCAGTTTCTGATTTGGTCCCAGAATGTCCTGCTTTTCCTTAGGACATCCCTATTTTCATCTGAGAAAAGTCGGAGGGCACGGAGTTACACGACCCCTGAACCAAGGAGATAAATAACTATGCAACCTTTAGAAGACATCGGAAGCCAGCCCTATATAGGAAAGGGTTTTTTTTAATGTTTAATGTTTGATTATGTTTTTATATGTGTTGGAAGCCACCCAGAGGTGGCTGGGACAACCCAGTCAGTTGGGCAGGCTATAAATAATAAAATTGCTATGATGATGATATAGAACATCCCTATTTTCATCAGAGAAATGTTGGAGGGTATGAGTTTTGCTTTCTGCAAGCACAAAGGGGCTTTCAGGCCCCTGACAGGATATCATGGGGGGCCTTTCTGAGCAACCTTCGGGGGGCCACATGTCAGTTGTGGTCAGTTGTGATTTATCGGCTACTTTAAAATGAGGCTGCCTTTTAAATTGCATTTTAACCTGTATTTTAAATAGTTTTTTCCCCCTCCCTTCTCTTTTCCCCCTATTATGTTTTTACTGTGATTTTATTGGTGTTAGCCACCCTGAGCCCATCTCTGGCTGGGGAGGGCGGGGTATAAATAAAATTTATTATTATTATTAGTATTATGGGCAATGCAAGTATCTTGCTTCTCTTTAACCCCTTTGCAGCCTCGCAGGCGGACAAGAATCTGGTTTGTTTGTGCTAGTGGGTTTCTTGCGATGCGTCAACCATACCGGTGTTGTAGCCCTCGGTTTGATCTGGCCGGTATTTCTCAGCTGGCGTTTTAGTTATCAGGTCGTCGTTTTTAAAATATCCGTCACCGCTGTGAGATAAAAGAAGAAGAATAAAGCAGATTTTTTATCTTTCCAAGGATAAACAATATTTTCCCTTCTCAAACCAGGAGATCGTTCAGATCTCAAGTAGCTGAATGCAATCCTTTCAAGAAGAGATAATCCCCACATTACATTTTGGGAGAGCTAGCCTTCCACACGCTTGACATCTCACAGTAGTCATAGCCAACTCATCCACCTCCCCCCCTACTGTTTGTAAAGGTGTAAAAAGCAGCAGTTGGGATCAGGGCCAGATTTAGGTTTGATGCGGCCCTAAGCTACTGAAGGTAATGGGGCCCTTTATATGTCCAGCTGTCCTTTGTCAACAACAAATTGTCACTGTTTTTTGTGTTGAATATATGCTGTATGGTAATTTATGGACCTAATAAGTATCTAAACCCATTTGCACGTAACAAAATATGCATTTTATCAAAGTAATTGTTGAACTTATTTTATATTTTGGAAATGTACATCCAGCTTTTTTCCCCTTTAAATTTTTTTGGGGGGCCCAAGAGAGAGGGGCCCTAAGCTATAGCTTGTTTAGCTTATACATAAATCCGGCACCGGTTGGGACTTTTGACAAGAAATTGGTGAATATGTAGTTTGGCCCCATGATTTCAAGTCCATGTGCAGGAGCCAAAGTCTCCCTCTTCACACACACACACACACACACACACACACACACATATATGTAAAGGGACCCCTGACCATTAGGTCCAGTCCTGGCCGACTCTGGGGTTGCGGCACTCATCTCACTTTAGTGGCCGAGGGAGCCGGCGTACAGCTTCCGGGTCATGTGGCCAACATGACTAAGCTGCTTCTGGCGAACCAGAGCAGCACACGGAGACGCCGTTTACCTTCCCACCGGTGTGGTACCTATTTATCTATTTGCACTTTGTGTTTTCGAACTGCTAGGTTGGCAGGAGCTGGGACCGAACAATGGGAGCTCACTCCATCGCAGGAATTTGAACTACCGACCTTCTGATCAGCAAGTCCTAGGCTCTGTGGTTTAACCCACAGCGCCACCTACGTCCCATATATTAATTGGCAAATCTGAAAATTTCCCATTCATTGCAGTGGAGGAAGCAGTTCCAGGTGTACATTCCTTTGCTCTCTCAAGTGGCTACCACTATCCAAAACATACCCATATTTCAACATGCACAGGTCTCTGAATCATGGCAACAGGGGTTTGACCATCAGTGACAAATCCTCCTATTCCTGGCTCGCCCACCCATGTCCCTTTGGTTAAGGAACTGCACATACCTGGTCCACCCGATCAGCACATTTGCAGGAGCGATTCTTCTGTAATCCCATTGCATTCCACCATTTTGATAAAGGAACAGCGTGTATGTTCTGTATCCATCAGTGGTTAGGATGGCTTGGTAGGTGTTGGTCTGGAAGATACATAAGTAAGAGGTGAGACAGTTTTCCCACCATACCATCCAGGTGCACATTCAAGGCTCAGGAAACACTTTTCGTAAAGTGGTGTTTCTTATTCTACCTTCACAAATAAAAAAGGAATAGGGAAGTCTATGCATATTAAGCAGCATCTTAAAAAGCAGAGACATCACCTTGCCAACAAAGGTCCGTATAGTTAAAGCCATGGTTTTCCCAGTAGTGATGTATGGAAGTGAGAGCTGGACCATAAAGAAGGCTGATCGCCGAAGAATTGATGCTTTTGAATTCTGGGGCTGGAGGAGACTCTTGAGAGTCCCATGGACTGCAAGAAAATCCAACCTCTCCATTCTGAAGGAAATCAGCCCTGAGTGCTCACTGGAAGGACAGATCCTGAAGCTGAGGCTCCAAGACTTTGGCCACCTCATGAGAAGAGAAGACTCCCTGGAAAAGACCCTGATGTTGGGAAAGATGGAGGGCACAAGGAGAAGGGGACGACAGAGGATGAGATGGTCGGAAAGTGTTTTCGAAGCTACGGACATGAGTTTGACCAAACTGCGGGAGGCAGTGGAAGACAGGAGTGCCTGGCGTGCTCTGGTCCAGGGGGTCACAAAGAGTCGGACACGACTAAACGACTAAACAACAACAACATGCATATTAAGCAGCCACCACAAGTCAAATGCAAATTGCTGCTTTAAAAAAAGGTCTTTCCATCTCCTTTTGACACCTGGAGGGCACCATGTTGGCTAATCCTGCTCAAGAATGACTCTTTTTTTTTTTGCAAAATCTACAAAAAAAGAAGAATGAGGTTTTGAGCTATTTTTTAGGAAATTCGCCAAAGAATCAACATTAGCTGCCATACGACCAGGTTTTCCCAGACATTTCAACCAAAATTTGAAATTTCCACCCGGACGCTATTTTCAGTGGACGAATCCGCAATATGTCCAGAAAATCCCAGACGTATGGTAGCTCCATGAAATATAAGCGGTGATATGTCCCATGGAAGAGGGAGCAAGCTTGTTTTCTGCTGCTCCAGAGGGCAGGATCTGAACCAAAGGATTCAAGTTACAGGAAAGGAGATTCAGACTCAACATCAGGCAGAATGTTCTGACTGTAAGAGCTGTTGGACATTGGAACAGTCAGTGGAATGGAGTCTCCTTCGTATAGAAGAAGAGAAGAGTTTGGATTTGATATCCCGCCTTTCACTCCCTTTAAGGAGTCTCAAAGCGGCTAACATTCTCCTTTCCCTTCCTCCCCCACAACAAACCCTCTGTGAGATAAGTGGGGCTGAGAGACTTCAGAGAAGTGTGACTGGCCCAAGGTCACCCAGCAGCTGCATGTGGAGGAGCGGGGAAGCGAACCCGGTTCCCCAGATTACGAGACTACCGCTCTTAACCACTACACCACCAACTCCTAGGGGCTGAGGTCCCTTTGCACCCCACAATAAAATATTTGAGGGGGCTGCTCCCCCAAGTTGATGGGCATCGGCAAGGAGTAGTAGTAGTATTGTAGTTATTATTATTATTGGTTTTTATTGATTTATTGGTTTGCTTGTTGCTTGTACAGTCATACCTTGGGTTACAGACGCTTCAGGTTGCGCATTTTTGGGTTGCGCACCGTGCTGAACCCAGAAGTACCGGAATTGGTTACTTCCAGGTTTTGGCGCTGGCGCATGCACAGAAACACTAAGTCGCACTTTGCACATGCACAGAAGCGCCAAATCGCAACCCGCACGTGCACAGACATGGTGCTGTGGGTTGCAAACGTGCCCCCCGCACAGATCACGTTTGCAACCCGAGTGTCCACTGTATAAGATACCTTTTTAAAAAAATGTTTGGTGTTTTGTTGTGTTTTATATGTTGTAAGCTGCCCAGAGTGTCTTGGGGAAACCCAGCCAGATGGGCAGGATATAGATTTAATAATAATAATAATAATAATTATTATTATTATTATTATTATTATTATTATTATTATTCAAATGGCATACACACCCACCCCCCAATATTTTATTCAAATTGGCACCCTTGCTCCTTCCTTGGAGATTTTAAAGCAGAGGCTGGAGGGATGCTGTAGATGAGATTCCTGCATTGCAGCGGGCTGGGCTGGATGACCCTTGGGGTCCCTTCCAACTCTGCAATTCTAGGATTCTACAAAATAACGAAACAAGATGCCACGGAATACATTTGCAAGGCTCCTTAAAATAAGGCACTTCATTAAAAAGCGTTACTTGGTGTTGGATTGAAAATAAGTGGTATTGGTAATAAGATTAATAAGAATATGCAAATACGGATTGATAATGGATGAAAATACATAGGTATAATAGGTTAAGATATTGAGTAAAGATAAATGAAAGAGGGTAAGGATTTGTTGAAATGATTTTTTAAACGGGAATACAAAAAGGGGAGGTGTGAGGAGGTCAAGGAAATAAGGAAATGAGCTTAAAGATATCAAAAATTGGATTTATCTTTAAATTTTTTCTTCTTTCTAGTTATTAGTATTTTCTTTGTATTTTGTATCTTTTTTATTCTTCTTTTCTATGTGTGTTTTTTTAGTTTGCTAATTTTTGTTTTAATTTTTTCTATTCTGTAAACTTATGTTTTCTGTTAACTTTATTCTGTAAACTTATGTTTTTTGTAAAACTTTAATAAACATTTCTTTTTTAAAAAAAAGAACTTAAAAAAAAGCGTTACTTGGGTCTTTCTTAGAATACCAAAGTACAGTGATAGCAGTGTTCTACTGCTGGAGACAACTCACTCTGCCGTTCTGCCCCTGCGCTGGGTAAGGCTGCGCTTTCACCCAGGTGATCTTGAGTGTCCAGGTGGCTGAATAGGAACACTTCAAATATTGCTGAATCTTTGCTTCCACATCACGGACAACGGGGTGTTTTGCAGAGGTCTGGGTAACATATTCCTGCATGCAACAGAGGAGTGTATTACAGATGGGAATCTCACACACACGTTTAAACTTATGCCATGGAAATTACACACAAGGACACATGTAGCTCCAGAACCACTTCTGAAGTTACAAAGTTTCCACCTATGAACACTTATGAGTATGTTAGTACAGTGGTACCTTGGTTTAAGAACAGCTTCGTTTATGAACAACTTGGATTAAGGACGCTGCAAATCCGGAAGTAGGTGTTTTGGTTTGTGAACTTTGCCTTGGATTTAGAACATGTTCCACTTCCTGTTGAGTGTGTTCCTTTTGTAAATTGAGTTCCCCGCTGCTATGGGAAAGCACGCCTTGGTTTAAGAACGCTTTGGTTTAAGCACGGACTTCCGGAACAGATTAAGTTCGTAAACCAAGGTACCACTGTATATATACCATAAACCACCCCCAATACCCACCTGGTAAAAGATGGTTCCTTTGCCTCTGGAGAAATCAGCATGGTCCCAAAACACGGCTATCATTGGTACTTTCTCACGGCCATTAAATCCTTCCGGAGGTGGGTTAGGATAGCTGGAAATATCTTTATCAGAAGCTGGGAAAATTATTTGTCCGTTGTCTGTGAACTAAATGAAGGAGAGGTGCAAATGAGGTCCGGCAAGATGCAGCAAAGTAGATGAAGTTCTGCTTTCAGAATTGGGTTTTTCTGTCAAATTCTAATTGTAAATGTCTCACAAATGTAAGCTTCTGCTTTCGTTCTGATTGTTGCTTACATTTTCCCTGTGAAGCACCATGGGCATTCGTGAAAGTTGCCTGATTGTGGCCTATTTGATCCAAATTGTGTGGATGTATCAAAGGTATTCCATCAACCAGAGCTTGGACCACAGGAAATGTTGCTTATATAAGTTTGTGCTACTGAGACCAGGGATGCACACAGGCAGTTGCAACGCTAAGAAGCATCTCAGCCTAGAATGCCTCGATTTTTGTGTGTGTTTAGTATGTACTAGCGATTGCCAAGTTTATCCAAACTTGGGTTCACAAACCCCCCTGGTGCTACAAAGGTTAAACAGGCAATATATATCTGACAAGGTAAGCAATCTACCACACACACCCTTAAAATATTCTGGCAGTCCTTCCAGGTTCCAAGTGCCAGACTAGCAAATTTGCCAGAGCGCCAAGGAGTGTGGCGTCATCCTGCTTCCTGTCTGCCCATCCAGACCCTCTGCCTCTTTGAAAGAGATAAATGGGGAGGGTGGGTGTTATGTACTGAGTTGAATAGGATCCAAAAGGCAGCAGTCTGATTGGTCCTAGAACAATAGGATTCAGAATGCAGCAGTCTGATTGGTCCTAGAACAATAGGATTCAGAATGCAACAATCTGATTGGCCCTAGAACAATACGATCCAAAATGCAGCAGTCTGATTGGCCCTAGAACAATACGATCCAAAATGCAGCAGTCTGATTGGTCCTAGAACAATAGGATTCAGAATGTAGCAGTCTGATTGGTCCACAGGAGCCACCCAATCCAGCTCCAGGTGGAAGTGAATCCGCAACCTGATTGGCCTACAGGTGAATCCTGGAATTAGCCAATCACGTGGGGCCCATTGTGTAAAAGATGTATATAAAGCAGACATTCTGGGGGAACTTCCATTCCTCCTCACCACTATGAGCTGAATAAAGAGCATGAAATCCACTCTCAACTCCGAGTATATTTCATAAAGACTCACATAGAGGGAGCTGCGCAGCGTTTTTCCCAGTGGGATTCCAATCTCGGGCCTGAACAGAGGCGAATTGAAATCCACTTTCCTTTGAACGTATTCTTTGTCGTTCGCACTTGCTCCGTATGGGAAGAGGGACGCCGCTGCACATCAAAACACAAGAACATTACAAGGTGGATCTTTCAATGAGTCCTTCCCATCCCTCCAGAGTGTACCTGCCTCCTGTATTTTGACCCTCACCTCTGACTACAACTGTGTCCATGTCTCTGAGACTGAACTAGACAATTGGCAGCCTGCTCCCCCCCGCAAGAGAGGGACCCCCAAGATTTGGGGGAGCAGCAGGAGGGACTGTAAAGTGGGGAGAGGACGCAGGTCTTGTTGGCAGTATATTGTGGTGTTTTTCTATTTTGTTAGACACCGCTCAGAGTGGCAGGGGCAACCCGGTCGGATGGTTGGGGTGCAATAATAAATTCATTATCATTATAAGTAACAGAATGCCACACATTGTAAGAAGCATGGAACTACCACCAGTCGGAGGGGGGCTTACCTGTCACCTCTTCTATAAAACAATACTTGCTGGTGACACCATTGCACTGGGCATCTCCCCAATTCTGTGAACTGCATTCAACTAAGTCACACAAGGACTAATAATAATAATAATAATATATTTTATTTATACCCCGCCCTCGCCATCCAGAGCAGGGCTCAGGGCGGCTAACACCAATAAAATTACAGTAAAACATAATTGGGGGGGGGACGACAAACAAAACAAAACAAAACACCAGTTTATTAAAATATGGGTTAAAATACAATTTAAAATGCAGCCTCATTTTAACATTAATGGGGCTTTTCACCCCCTCTTCTCCTTCTCCTTCTCCCACACACATGCCCCCCCCCCAAATTGACTTGGGAGGGGGTGTCAGGAGATCTCCTGGAAGAGCATACAGGGGGAGGAGATGGCAGATCGTCCCATCAGCAAGTGCTTATACTGGTGAAGTATGAGCAAATGCTTATACTCTGCTTAGTGCTCTGTTGAATCCCCCCCAGTAGGCCATTTACCAAATACTACTCCTGCTCAGAGTAAATCCATTGAAAATGACAGGTGTGACTTGGGCCCATTAATTTTAATGGATGTGCTCTGGATATAACCCGGTTGACTACAACCCTATGCCTCCTGGAATTTTGGTCTTCAGCTGTTGGGTTGAGATGCGCAGCTTAAGGATTTGCTGAGATAATTAATAATTAGAATACAAAAAAGGGAGGTGTGAGGAGGTCGATGAAACAAGTTAATGAAGATAAGGATATGGGAATATTGGATTTGTTTTTAACTTTTTTTCTTGCTTTTGTTTTTGATTTTGATGTATTGTGTGTTTTGTACTCTTTTTTCTTTTTATTGACTTGTATTGTTTACTTTCTTTTTTCTCTCTTTTCTTTTTCTTTTTTTCTGTAATTTTAAATTCTTAATAAATATCATATTTTTTTTAAAAAAAGAGATGCACAGCTGGATCACGCAGCCTTGACCTAATGCTACCACTGTGCACATGTACAGTAAATAATAAATAAATACATGGCATTAAGAAGTGAGTCGCCAAATTCATGGTTGGGCTAAAGACGGTTCCCTGATCTTGTAAAGGCTGAAGACAACTGTCTTAGCTCGTCACAGAGACAAGTATTTGCAGGAGGTTGGGCTAAATGACTATTGGACTCCCTTCCAACTCCTCCGATCTATGATTTTATGATTCCAGTTTATCACAAGGAGATATTAAATGCACTCACCTGGTGATGTTACAGGAGCTGGAACTGCAGAGATGCGGCCTGACTTTGCTGGGTTTCCATTGGCAGTTGCTGTTTTCCCATCCTTGGAATTCTGGGGTCTTGAATTGGGCTTCTTTGCTTTGCCTTCTGAAGATTTAGTATCTCCTGCAGCGGCAAGGGGGACCTCTGGTTTTCCTTTGCTATTGGCAGGTGCGACTTTGCTCACGCCGACACCCGGCTTTTTCTGCGTGGGGGAAGGAGACAGGGATGAGATGCCGGAACTGGTTGAAGACCCCGACTTGGTGGGCTTAGAAACTGGAGAGCTGCTGCTGGACGTTCCAAGGGCAGAGCTGGGTGCTTTCCCTGCGGAGGAGGATGCTTTGCTGTTGCCAGATGTGTCTTTGCCCACACCAACAGCTGGCTTACTCTGGGCGGAGGAAGGAGGCGGGGATGAGATGCCGGAACCAGCGGGAGATGATGGCTTCATGGGTGGTTTTGCTAAAAGTATGGGCTTAACACTTCCTGGGTCTTCAGACTTGGAGGACAGAGGAGACGTTCCTCCTTTGATCTCAGGGCCTGATTCTGCCCCAGAAGGCAGTTTCAGGGTATTCGCTGGACTCAGTTGTGTACTAGACAGGGAAGGACTTGTTCCACCAGCAGTGGATGTGGTGGCTGGACCCTTGTCAGCTGCCAAAACTGAGCTGTCTGCATCGCCTCTCCCTTCGGACGCTGGGGAAGAGCTCAAAAGCCCATTGGGTGAGGGTCTGGATTCTTGGGTCTCTGAATCAGAAGGGAAAGAGTCTGTTTTTCCTGCTTCTACGCCAGCTGGTGCCTCCTCTACCTTCTGAGAAGATGAGCCATCAGCAATGACATTTCCTGTGCCTTTGACATATGAGTTGGTGGGTCCAGAGGGCAGTGTGTTACTGGGGGGCGATAAGGCAGAAGGAGATTCCTCTGTATCGAAGGACCCTGGACCAGTCCCCAAATCTCCTCTTAAAATCTCTGTGCTGACTTCTGCCCCTGGAGAGGAAGAATCTGACCCACCCAGGGCATCACTGTTAGAAGGAGCAGGCTGTCCACTTACAGACTTTTCTGAACTTCCTGTGTTATCAAGACCTGCCATGTTGTCACTAACATCTCCACTCCCTGGAGGTGGCTGTGAAGACTCTGTAATGCCAGAGACTTGGTTTGCCCCAGCATTGGTGGCCAAGCTCTCATCAGAATATGCAGAAGCAGAAGGCAAGGTTCCTCCTGAAGCTTTGTCGATCACAGAAGAGGGTTGAGGGAAAGATTCTGCACCAGTTATTGAGCCAGATTTCTCTTCTAGCTGCTCTGCTACGTTTTCTGGGCTCAGGACTGTCTCTGTGAAAGAGGTGGATCCCTTGGTGGCTGTTGATCCCAAACTGGCAGTTTCCACCCCTCCAGTGGGAAGGGAAGGTTCTCCGTCACCAAGTCCTCCAGAAACATCTTCACTTGTCAATGTTCCCGGGGATTGTGATTCTGTGGACAATGGATTAAATGATGCTTCCTTCCCACTCATGCCCTCCTCAGAAGCTCCTGCTGTAGCTGCATTGTCCACAGATGGTTGAGATCCTGCATCTGTTGCTGTCCCCATGCTGGGCGTTTCCAACCCTTCAATGGTGAGGGAGGAATCTCCATCACCAAGTCCTCCAGAAACCTCATTGCTTGCAGATGTCCCAGAAGATTGTGATGCTGTGGACAATGCATCCAAAGATGGCTTCTTCCCGTTCACAGTGGAAATGTCTTCCGATTCTTCTCCTTCCTCAGAAGCTAAATCCCCGGCTGTATCTGCATTGTCTGCAGATGGTTGAGATCCTGCATTTGTTGCTGTCCCCAAGCTGGGCATTTCTACCTCTTCGGTTGACAGAGAGTCTGATGGTGACTCTGCAGCCAATGGAGCCAATGATGGTTCCTTCCCATTGGACACTATTGTTGCTGCACCATCTAGTGATGGTTGGGATGCCTTGCTTGCTGCTGACTCTGAGCCGGCTGTTTCCACCCCTTCAGTGGCGAAGGAGGAATCTCCATCACCAAGTCCTCCAGAAACCTCATTGCTTGCAGATGTTCCAGAAGATTGTGAGGCTGTGGGCAATGCATGCAAAGATGGCTCTTTCCCACTCACAGGAGAAACGTCTTCTGATACTCCTCCCTCCTCAGAAGCTACACCCTCTGCTGCACCATCCGGTGATGATTGAGATCCTGTGTTAGTTGCTGAATCCAAAATAGGTGTTTCTACATCTTCAGGGAGGAGGGGGGATTCTCCAAGCCCTCCAGAAACATCTTCACTTGTAGGTGTTCCAGAGGATTGTGAATCTGGTGCCAATGGGGCCAAAGAGGATTTCTTTTCACTTATTGTGGATTCTCCTCCCTCCTCAGAAGCTACAGCCCCTGTTTCCACACCTTCAGGGAGGGTGGAAGATTCTCCAAGCCCTCCAGAAACATCTTCACTTGTAGGTGTTCCAGAGGATTGTGAATCTGGTGACAATGGGGCCAAAGAGGATTCTTCTCCCTCCTCAGAAGCTACAGCCCCTGCTGTTGCTCCACTATCTACGGATGGTTGAGATCCTGTGTCAGTTGCTGGCCCCAAACTGGGCATTTCCACCCCTTCAGTTGACAGAGAGTCTGACTGTGGCTCTGCAGCCAATGGAGCAGATGATGGTTCCTTCCCATTGGACACTCCTGCATTTACTGGTTGAGATCCTTCCCCTGCTGCCTTCTCAAAGCTGGCAGGATCCACCCACTCAGTGGAGAGGGAAGGTCTTCCTTCAACAAGTCCTTCAGAAACCTCTTCACCTGCAGATGTTTTCGGTGATTCTCCAACCGATGAACCCAAAGGCATTTCCTGCTCACTTGCAGCAGAAGAGTTTTCCCACTGTTCTATGCCTTCAGAAGCTCCAGGTCCTGCAGCATCTTGAGATGGTTGAGATCCTGCACTGGGTTCTGATTCAGAGATGGCAGTTTCCATGCCTTCGGTGGAGGCAGTTGCTGATTGTAACTCTGTGGCCAATGGAGACGATGGTTCCTTTCCACTTTCAGCGGAGATGTCTTCTGATTCTTCTCCCTCCTCATAAGTGACAGGTCCTGCTCTCACTGCATCATCTGGAGACAGAGTAGGCTCCTCGCTATCGACTGATGGTGATCCATCCATTTGCACCTCTTCAGTGGAAGAAGAGGAAACAGGTGGCTTTGAGGCTGACGGAGCCAAGTATGTTTCCTTGCCACCGACACTGGAAGAGCCTTCAGATGGTTCTGCTCCCTCATCTGTTGCAGCATCTTCTGGAGAGAGTTGAGACTCCTCACTACCTTCCAAGTCTGAGCCAGTACCCCCTATCCCATCATTGGAGGGGGAGGCCGGTGGTGACCCCATGTCTATTGGAACCAAATCCAATCCTTTCTTACTAAAAGTATCTTCCAATCCCTGGGCCTCCTCAGAAGTTGCAGAGCCTGGATTTAATGCAACATCTGGAGACAGCTGATAGGAGACTGGAGAGCTAGTGGACCCACTAGGCTCAGCTCCTGATGGCTCAAAAACAACAGAAGGGGGGGATTTTTCACTTGGGGTGACTAAGGGAGATTCTTCTCCTGAGGCTGTGTTTCCTACTAATGTCTCGCCATCCTCTACAGGCGGTTGACTTGGGGTTTCTCCATCAGCCGCAGCTCCTGGTGGTCCTGCAGGCAGCTCTGATCTTTCAGTGGGGCCAATTTCTGCATCTGAAAGTGGGAGATCCGTTCCAGCTTGGCCCCCGCTGTTGGTTGTCCCAGCTACTTCATTTTCAACCAATCCAGTGCTGCCCTCACCATCCCTGCTACCTTCTAAAACATCAGTGCCTTGGGGGGAAGGACCAAGGTTGTCAGAAGTTGGGCTTGAGGAGGCTTCGCCTTCTTCGTCTTCCACACTGAAGGACCCAGAAGAAGATGCAGAAGAGGGGGTGTTTTCTGATGACTCTTGAGCTTCCTTTGATTCTCCACCACTCTCAGGAAGGGGTGTAAGATCTCCAGATTCTGCATCTGTCACCTCTGCAGAGCTTGGTGGACTGTTCTGTGCTGCACTTCCTGGACCTAGCTGTGGCTCTGGGGGCAGAGTGTTGACTTCGTCCAGAAAGCTGCTGCTATCTGAAGGGGATCCCTCATCAACTGCTGCCTCTGAGGTGGCTCCTACTGTCTCTTCTCTGGAGGGTAAGGCTGATACCTTGCCTAGGTCTTCAGAAACATTTCCATCCTCAGCGGCCTCTGTTTCTGCAGGAGCCAGTTCAGGCTCTGCGGTGGACACTGGGGAAAGAGATGCTTCCTCCCTGTTCACAGCAGCAGAATGTCCTAGTTCCTCTGGCCCCGTGGTGACCTCTGAGCCTGCCCCCATGTCATTGTCTGGGGGTAGGTGGGAGGAAGGTGGAGAGCCAGGTGGTCCATTTGATGGAGCTTCCATTGCATCTGTAGCAGAGGGACCAGAAGGTGACGCATCAGGAGATGTGGAGGGGAAGGTGGCTTGTCCTCCCGATGGATCTGTTACCACCATGTCCTCTGCAGGTGACAGATCTGAAGATTCTTCAGTGTCCAAAATCTCTGATCTTCCCACAGGTGGGATAAGCTCCATGCTGGAGAGTGGGGAGCCTGTCTCGCTCTGGCCTTCGCTGCTCGTCTGTGTGACAGCATCAATTGTGGCTGATCCTACTACAACATCTGGTCCTGTAGCTGCCTCACTGCCTTCAGGAGAAGAACCAACAACCTTTCCAGGTGTTTCGCTGGGGGAGATCTCTCCCTCCTCCTGCTGAGAAGGTGTAACACTGAGAGACATAGGAGAGGGTGTTTCTTCAGATGACCCCTGAGCTTCGGATACTGTTTCATCCTCCAGGAGAGAAGGAGGGGATGTTTTGGCATCGGGCAAAGTCCCTGGTACCTTCTCTGCTACCCCAGCTGAATTTATGGTGGTCATATCTGAAGAGGGCTCGCTCTGGGTTGATACTGTGGGCTGCTCATTCTCTGCCACGTCTGAACTATCTGTTTCCATACCAGGATTCAAGGGGGAGGCTGCCCCACTGACAAGGTCTGCAGAAACTTCTTCTCCAGCAGGGACATCTCTTCCTGAAGAAGCTGGTCCTTGCTCTGGAGACACTGAAGCAAAAGATGCTTCCTTGTTGCTGTCTGGGCTTCCAGAACCTTCCTCTGCCTCTTCGTTAGTTGTGGAAGATGCCTGGGTCTCACCATCCTCAGGGAACTGTGAAGCAGAACCCGACCCCAATGGGAGTCCAGCAGGAGAAGACACTTCCATCCTCAGTGAAGGTTCAGAGGGAGCATCACTGGGAGATAAAATGCCGGGTGGACTGTCTAGTGTTGACTCATCTACTGGAAGGGATTCTGCACTCAGCAGGTCTTCTGATTCTCCAGCGGGCACATCGGCCGTGTTTTCAGGGCCAACTTCTGGTCCTGCAGAAGAGGGACCTGCAGTTGCCTCCGTATCGCTTTCGGGCTCTCCTGCAGACAGAGAGCTATCTGCATCGCCCCTTCCTTCTCCAGGAGCAGATTCTACATCCAGAGCAGCTTCATCAGCAGGAGGTAGTTGAGTGGAAACTGCAACAAGCTCACCAGGTTCTGATGACTCCGCAGTTGTGTCATCAGACGGCAACGAACCGGATGGGGGCAATTCTGGCGGTGGCGTCACAGCATCTCCCTCTGGAGGTGGTGGAGGAGAGCTTCCATCAGCAGGAGCAGCTTCTTCTTCTTCTACAGGCAGCTCTTCTGTGTGGCTGGAAGGGTCTGCCCCTGGGCTCGAGGACGGGGCTGCAGCCTCACTGCCACCATCTGGAGAAAGCTCTGGAGTCTCCTCATCTGCTTCTGGGATGACGTTTGGTGTTTCCTCCCACGAAGCTACGGTGGGGTTGAGCTGGAAACCCACGTCGCTTCCCCTGGTGTCCACATCCATTGCCTCCTCGTCTCCAGCAGCTGGTGGCAGAAAACTCATTTCGTCAGAAGCAACGCTGCTTGCCCCTTCCTCGGAGGGTGATGCCCGTATCCCTTCACCGCCGGTCGCGCTGAGAGGAGATGTGCTTGTTGTGCTGGGCTCCAACTCCATGAGAAGCTCTGTTCCTCCAGGCTGCTCAGAGGCAGAAGCAGAAAGCAAGATGGGCGCCGTGGCTGTTTCTTCGGTCCTCTCCGCGGGGGATTCAGCTGCCTCTTCTTCCTTAGAGAGCAAGGTGACCTGTGTGGCTGCTTCCTTAGACACCACTGCTGCTGTTTTAGCTGTCCCTTCTTCCAAAGAAGAGTTCGTCCTGGCCGGGAAGACGGCCTTTTCTTCGACATGGACTTCTGTCGTTTCCTTGGCGTTCCCTCCTGCAGGTGTGATTCCTGGGTTCTTGGGACCATCGGTGGAAGAGGCCACGTTTCCTGCAAGAGTGGAGGCCGACGGAGAACCTGACCTTTCTTCCTCCACGGGACTGGAAGAGTTCGCTGAGCTAATAGAACTCAGGTTTCCTTCTGGGTTCCCAAGGAGAGGGCTAGAAGTATAGAATTCTGTGGCTTGGATTTCCTCCGTGAAGACAGGCACCTCTGTGGTCGGAAGCATGGTGGGGTCGAAATAGTCACTGTCTGTGCCCCAGGAAAGGCCATCACTGGTGGTGGTGAAGTCGCCCAGGTCTCCTTCTTCCCATTCTGTGGGAACTGGGACGGCAACTGTTTTCCCAGGCGCTGCAAGGAGTTGACAAAAGTAAGATGGAAAGTTACACATTTGCATCAACAAAGGACTTGTCTGTCATTCAAGATTGCTTTGTAAAACAGTCAGTGGTTCCAGACCCTACAAGTGTCCCTATTTTCCAGGGACAGTCCTGGATTTACAGAAGCCGTTCTGGTTTCTGATTTGATCTTGGAATGTCCTGCTTTTCCTTAGGATGTCCCTATTTTCATCGTAGAAATGGGAGGGGGTATGGAGTTGTGTGACCCCTGAGCCAAGGAGATAAGGAACTATACAACCTTTAGAAGACACCTGAAGGCAGCCCTGTATATGGAATTTTTTAAATGATTTATTATGTGTGTGTTTTGATAATATTTATTGATTTTTCAATTATAATCCAATGATAGCCTCATTAGAACAATGCCAATTTACAATACAATTACTAATATCAATCATTCAAATACCAAATTATATTATTTAGATCAGGTGATCCCCCATGTCCTAGAATTGATTATTTGATGATTTTCTTTATTTCTTCATTCCAAAATCTTATTGATTTCAATGACATTCCAGTCATAATAATAAGCCGTTATACAACAGCTGCAATATTTATAACTTCTATTCATGTTGATACATTAAATGATTTATAGGACTACAAGTGAGGATCTCACACTGTATCATTGTTCTTCCTGTGTATGACATTCATTCTGTCCATGATGTTGCTTCCTGTCCTTGTAAAACGTTATGTCTAACTTTTCCTGGTTGTTGCTGTTGTCCGTCATGCCTTGAGCAGGGCTGATATCTATTTATTATGTTTTTATCTATGTTAGAAGCTGTGCAGTGTTGCTGGAGCAACCAATTCAGATGGGTGGGGAATAATCATAATAATAGAATAGGACGTCCCTATTTTCATCAGAGAAATGTTGGAGGATATGTGGTTTTTATTTTCAGATTCAATTTAAATGCAGCTTCCATTTAGCTCAGAGGTTTCCAAGGATGAATCTACGATGAAACTAATGAAGTTTAAGCTTCAGGGACCTTAATCCCAAAGAGCCCCAGAATAATAGTACTGTAGTAGTAGTAATAATAATAATAATAATAATAATAATAATATTTATACCCCACCCATCTGGCTGGGCTTCCCCAGCCACTCTGGGCGGCTTCCAACAAAATATTAAAATACAGTAGTCCATCAAACATTAAAAGCTTCCCTAAACAGAAGCAACTATAGTCCACGTTGCTTAAATTTTTTGGGTCTAGCATCCCAATTTGAGTTGCAACTGTTCGCATCAAATTGAATAATTTTTTTGGTTGTATATATTTCAACAATCCCAAAATTTGAGAGTCATTAGCACAGATGATGCAAAGGTGTGGCAATCTGTCGTGGAATGACCCCTTTGAGGAAGATAACAGCGGTTACCCAGACTCCATTGCTGGTTGCGAAGGGGCCCCCATGACAGTCCAAGCTTCAGGGTCCCCCAAATGTAGGTCTGTCACTGGCGGTTCCCAGATTTTTTTCAGGTCAACACCCCCTGGGTTCCATAAGTAAAGGTAAAGGGACCCCTGACCATTAGGTCCAGTCGTGACCGACTCTGGGGTTGCGGCGCTCATCTCGCTTTATTGGCCGAGGGAGCTGGCGTACAGCTTCCGGGTCATGTGGCCAGCATGACTAAGCCGCTTCTGGCGAACCAGAGCAGCGCACGGAAACGCCGTTTACCTTCCCGCCGGAGCGGTACCTATTTATCTACTTGCACTTTGACGTGCTTTTGAACTGCTAGGTTGGCAGGAGCAGGGACCGAGCAACGGGAGCTCACCCTGTCACGGGATTCGAACCGCCGACCTTCTGATCGGCAAGTCCTAGGCTCTGTGGTTTAACCCACAGCGCCACCCGCGTCCATCATACTCAACCCCAATGTCCCCTACCCTATGAAAATAGCATCATTCCAAACAGCAGTTTGCATGTCCCACTGATGAAGACATTAACACAATAAAATTAGACAATTAATTGCATGGCTATTTAAAATACAGTCCAAACTACTGAGTGCAATTAATTCAACAAAACAGATGAACTTGATCCAGAGACATCAGCTTTTCAAATTCTTGTAGTCATTTACACCCCTAAGTAATCCCACTTCCCCCTTTGGAAACCACTTGTTGTCAAAGTCATTTAATGTTCCATAAAATTGTGTATAGTTGTAACTGCATTTAAGTTACTGTGAAAAACATGATCATATGATGGAGGCTTGTGTTTTTCCATAGCAACGGTGGGATGGGCTAGATTTTATGACTGAGTCATGGGTTCTCGGATAGGATTCCCAAGGACACAAAACTGTTTTTTTCCAAGGACACACAGATCTCCCTGGGCACTGGCCAAAATTCAAGCAAGCTGTGAATTATTATTATTATTAATTTTATTATTATTATTATTATTATTATTATTATTATTATTATTATTATACTGCTCTTTTCTCTGAAGATCTCAGGGTGGTGGTTCACAAGATAAAACTACAGGATAAAAAGAAGTGTCAGATTTCTTTTGATTTTCAGCTGGAATACTGGTTTTGGGCAAAGAGATGTTATTGAGGCTCATACTGGGATCAATCTATGCAGGAATGGAAATAAACAACCGAGACAATATATCGTTCATTGTTTCTGCAATGCTTAAACCAAGTACGGTATCTGCAAGCAAAGCTGTAAAACTCTTTGCTTTTGTTATGAGAATTTATTTCTACACAGAAGGTGATGATCCTTAGTGGGTTGTGCAAAGTGCTTTTATGAATAATTTTTGCTAGAGGTTAAGTGGCACAAGGGATGTGTTTATGGCAGTGGCTTGAAAATATTTGGGGACTGCTGGCTTATACCGAATCAGACCCATGGCCTTGCTGGCCCAAATAGGACTAATTTAGCCAGCTATCCCTGGTGATCCTCTAATGTTTATTGGATGGATTTTCCCCCAAATGATTTTTGAATTCTGAATTTATTGTTATTCATGTTTTATACTGTATTTTATGCTGTTTTTTGTTGCATCAATTAAGTGTTTTAAATTTGTCGTTAGCCGCCCTGAACCCTGTTTTTTGAACTGGGAAGGGCGGGGTATAAATAAAAAAAAATATATATTATTTATTATGGACCAACCAGATCAGTAGTGTATACTGAGTGTATGATTCGTACCTTGCAGGGGGTTGGACTAGATGACCCTTGGGGTCCCTTCCAACTCTGCAATTCTATGAAATCACAGATTATGAAAACTAAAACGGCAGGAGAAAAAACAACAACACACAAACACCCACAATGAGTACCTGAAGCAACAACAGCACCAAACTCACAATCTTGTTCAGAAAGGAAAGTTTCCAATTGCCAGCAAAACACAGATACAGAGGAAGATTGCCTCCTATTCTTATTACCTTAATATGGTGGGACATGGTATAACCTTACTTCATTTTATCTTTGCAATAATCTTAGCTTCCCTTCTGACAGCGTATCATCGCAAGAGCTGCTTCCCTGAACAAAGTTGGCAATACACATTCATTTTCAGTGAAAACATTAATCTTCAATTAGATTCTTCCGAACCCCAGAATATGGATGGATGAAACCTGCCAATCTCAGCTTCTCATTTTTCCAATCTTGAATTCCGTTCTCCAGATTTTCACAGCAGTTTGTGATTCACTTATTTTTTTTAAACCTCATGAAAACTCATCAGTGCAGTTTGCCCTGACATATACTGTATGTTATATGCATTTCTATGTACGCTTTCCTCTGATATATGTACTTTTGTGCACATCACGTGGTTGGAGGACGGCATTCTGGATATCGGAGAAGTGTGCATTCCGCAAGGTAATTGTGTTTCACTTCGCGTCTTGGTTCGAGAAGTGAAGTTTAGGTGCTTTCTTGTTAAAATGCAAACAGAATCAAGTTTCTTCCTCCAGCCCTCCCTCGGGCAGCAGTCCCTTGCCTGACTTTCTCCCCAGTCCAAGTCCATTTTCTCCATCTATTTCTATATCAGGTTTGCTAAGTAACTCATAAAGAGTTACTTGGGGGAAGGAGGAGGAGCAGAGAGTGTCGTACTGTTGCTCTTAGGCATCTTCTGTTTACTACACAGCCACTGGTTTTGAACAACTTCCACCCAAACCAGTGCTTTTCCACAGTGATGCAGAACACTGAAGCTGTCAAGAGGAACTTGGACTTGGCACACACATTGCCAAAAGGATACAAATTTAGCAGGAATTAATGAAAATAATTCTGAGGTCGTAGTACATCCCCAAACCACAGCTATGTGTTTTTAATGAAAGGTGGATCCAGACTGCCACTGCTTTGTAGCAGGGAGTCAAGTGCAAAGCAAATATGACTTTTTAAAGAAAACAACAACAGACTGTTTGCTGGTAGGAAAGTGACAGTGAATGCACTGGAAAGTGTGGGATGGAGAAAGGCAAGCAAACCAGGACGAATGCTCAATGCATTCCTGTATAAAATGGTAAAGAGACCCCTGACCATTAGGTCCAGTTATGGCCGACTCTGGGGTTGCGGTGCGCATCTCGCTTTATTGGCTGAGGGAGCCGGCGTACAGCTTCCGGGTCATGTGGCCGGCATGACTAAGCCGCTTCTGGCGAACCAGAGCAGCGCACGGAAACGCTGTTTACCTTCCCGCCGGAGCGGTACCTATTTATTTACTTGCACTTTGACGTGCTTTCAAACTGCTAGGTTGGCAGGAGCAGGGACTGAGCAACGGGAGCTCACCCCGTCGCAGGGATTCGAACCACCGACCTTCTGATCTGCAAGTCCTAGGCTCTGTGGTTTAACCCACAGTGCCACCCGTGTCCCTTGCATTCCTGTATAATCACCCCATAAACAAACCAGAATGAATGTGCAGTAAAGATCGGACATAGTCTAGACTCTATCCCCTGCATAGGCTTTGTGCAAGCGAATCCAGTGGATGCCGAATAAACAGGAGCCCAAAGAAATTTGGGAGAGAAAGGGGGGGGGAGGCAGCACCAGTACAGCAGAACCTGTGGCCTGTTATTGCTGGTGTGTGGATGCAAGCAGAGAACTTTCTCCTCTTCGCCCAGAGGAAAATGTTTCACTCTGCATCACAGCTTAATATCTTAGGCTGGCTGAGCTTGCCTCCACCTCTTGATCCTAATTGGAGCAGATTCACAGAGAGCAGCCAGAAAAAGAATAAACTTACCGCACAGAAGCCATGCCCAGAAACCTGCCACGGCCCAAAGCATCCCTCTCTGTCTCCCCATTTGCCCAGCAAATCGAATTTGTTAAAGGGGGGCTCAGTCCTTTGGCAGGACTTGGCGTGGACTGCCTCTCAGGAGATTCCAGTCATTTATAGGATATGCGTGTGTGGGTTGGAAGCCCTTGACCACTCCCATTCCCCCCCCCTTTTGCAGAAAGGCTGGAAGGGGCTGAATTTAATAAGCCAACCTCCTCCCCCTCAAACCCCCACCTGCAAAACCTTCACTTCCCAGTCATATGCAATGCATATCAACCAAATGACACTGTGCCACAAACAAAGAGCTGGAACAAACCAGGTGCGCCTTGCTAAAGGTGCCTGGAAGAGACGGAATATGTAATATGAAGTCAGACAGCTGAAACGCAATTGCTCTTAACTGCAAGCCCCTGGGAGATCGGGGAGCAGGAGTACCTCTTTAATTTGGTGAGATGTCTGAGTAATGCCCAAATAGTGTCTTCAGCTAGCATCTTGTTTTTTTTAAGAAAAACACATTATTTTATTAGTTTCTCACACGTTGTTTAGTTGTTTAGTCGTGTCCAACTCTTCGTGACCCCCTGGACCAGAGCACGCCAGGCACTCCTGTCTTCCACTGCCTCCCACAGCTTGGTCAGACTCATGTTTGTAGCTTCGAGAACACTGTCCCACCATCTTGTCCTCTGTCGTCCCCTTCTCCTTGGGCCCTCCATCTTTCCCAACATCAGGGTCTTTTCCAGGGAGTCTTCTCTTCTCATGAGGCGGCCAAAGTCTTGGAGCCTCAGCTTCAGGATGTGTCCTTCCAGTGAGCACTCAGGGCTGATTTCCTTCAGAATGGAGAGATTTGATCTTCTTGCAGTCCATGGGGCTCTCAAGAGTCTCCTCCAATACCGTAATTCAAAAGCATCAATTCTTCGGGGATCAGCCTTCTTTATGGCCCAGCTCTTTCTCACATGTAATGAACATGATTTAAACTACAATAAACAACAACAGTAGCACACCTAGTCCGTTTCTTGGGGAAACGCATAACAGCAGCTTAAAGTTAGACCCACATCAAAGACTCTAATCGAGTAAGTTTCTGCAGAAGTTTCTGTGGATCTGGGGAGTCTGCCTCTGTTGATTGTCGTGTCTCATATGGGAGATGAATGGATGGCAGTTGTTGTAGAAGGATCAAGGCATCGTCCTGACCTGGCAGGTCAGTTTCTCGGCCAGAGCAATGGGCCACATCTGAGCACACTGTGAATCTATTGACAAACCTGTGGCAGAGCTGCCATCTTGAGAATTGGCATGGCACATTTCCTTCTCTCCGCATGGATTTCTAAGTGCCTCAACGTGCGTGGGTTAATGCCTGCTGATATAACATCAATTTGCCTCTCGAGAAGGACTTGGAAGCCTCATAATCTCGTGGAGAAAAAGAACTATTGCACAAATATAATCCTTTCAGGGATGTACGGTCAGAGGTAGCAATGCTTCGAAATGCCCGTTGCTGCAGACCAAGGGAGGGAAAGAGTTTTTGTGCTTGGACTGGCCACTGTAAGAACAGGGTGCTGGACTAAGTGGGCCTGATCCTGCAGGATTGTGCCAGAGAAGTCAGTCTACTCATGGTCCATAAGCACCTAGAAGTGGCAAACACGTCCCTCGTTGGTTCTGGAGCCTTCCATCCCAGACAGGTGTCACTTAGGGACTCTTTGTGCTGGCTTGTGTGTCAAGCGTCACATGAACAAAGGAAGCTGCCTTATATGCAAGCCATAAAATCACAGAATGGTAAGACCTGGAAGGGACCTCAAGGATCATCTAGCCCAACCCCCTCCAATGCAATAATATGCAGTTGCCCAGTACGGGGATCGAACCTGCAACCTTGGCATTATCAGCACCACACTCTAACCAACTGAGCTATCCAGGAAGGATATAGTCCCGATGCAGCAATAATCTCACCTGATGTAAAGGTGGAGAAGAAAAAAGCTTGCCGTAGTTGCAACCCAGCCAGATGGGCGGCATAGAAATAATAAATTATTATATTATTATAATGGACGGCTTTTGTAATTCCGGGATGTCCCGGTTGAAACAGGACAGTTGAGATGGGCTTTTGGTTTCATCCAGCAGCTGGGCTCTTCTTAGCTTCTTTTGCCCCACTTGTGGGGGTCTTCCCAGAGACGTGGGGTTGGCCATGGTGTGAAATGGGATGTTGGATCATTCAGGAACACCCTTTGGCCCTGATCCAGCAGGGACTCTTCCTGCATTCTTAGGGAACCCATGAGCAGGGGCAGACTTTGGTAACATGGAGCCCCGAGCGAGGACCAAATTGGGTTCTTCCCCCTAAATATGTCTTATTCCCCAGTTAACTCGGAGAGACAAGGCCCCTGTGATTCTGGACAAATAGAAACAATAGAGGATGTGCTTCTCCAATGCCTATATTATAGAGACATCAGTATTCGCCTCATCTCCCCACTACTCCATCAGTACCCAGGGCGCACAGGACAATTCTATACCTCCTTGCTGCTTTGAGATACCAACCCCGTTTTGTAAATTGATAAAGGTACCCCTGCCCGTACGGGCCAGTCTTGACAGACTCTAGGGTTGTGCGCCCATCTCACTCAAGAGGCCGGGGGCCAGCGCTGTCCAGAGACACTTCTGGGTGACGTGGCCAGCGTGACATCGCTGCTCTGGCGAGCCAGAGATGCACACGGAAACGCTGTTTACCTTCCCGCTAGTAAGCAGTCCCTATTTATCTACTTGCACTCGGGGGTGCTTTCGAACTGCTAGGTTGGCAGGCGCTGGGACCGAACGATGCGGAGCGCACCCCGCCGCGGGGATTCGAACCGCCGACCTTTCGATCGGCAAGCCCTAGGCGCTGAGGCTTTTACCCACAGCGCCACCCGCGTCCCTTGTAAATTGATAGCTATAGCCTTTTATATACTAACCTTTTATGTTCTTCCACATCCGTGTAATGCTCCTAACTCTTTTTTTAGCTTCTTTTAGATTCTTGCAGCCTTTTATACATACCTTCTGTTTTAATAATCTTAGCTTTCCAAAACGTTTTAATGGACTTTAAATGATTGTACCCCAACCTACTTATGCTGGTCTATAACCGTAATAAAGATTTGATTGCTTATTCCCACAATAACTCCGTTTTTAAAATTTCTTTAATATTTTGTGCCCCTTGAGCCCTGTCCTAAATCTGTCGCTGCCACGAGATGCTTCCAAGGAATCCAGTAGCCAAAGGTCTCCTAAAGGTAAAGGGACCCCTGACCGTTAGTCCAGTCGTGACCGACTCTGGGGTTGTGGCGCTCATCTCACTTTACTGGCCAAGGTAGCTGGTGTACAGCTTCCGGTTCACGTGGCCAGCATGACTAAGCAGCTTCTGGCAAACCAGAGCAGCGCACGGAAACGCTGTTTACCTTCCCGCCAGAGTGGTACCTATTTATCTACTTGCACTTTGACATGCTTTCGAACTGTTAGGTGGGCAGGAGCAGGGACCGAGCAACGGGAGCTCACCCCGTTGCGGGGATTCGAACCGCCGACCTTTTGATCAGCAAGCTAGGGGTTGGCAAAACCAGTCCCCACCGGGGGTTCAGGGGCACTAAAATCACCTCTCAGACTCTGGGTTGTATGACACATATGTGTACCCCACTATCGTGGAAAGATGAAATGCAGAAGCTTCCCATCCTTCTCACACCACATCACAAAGGTGTGCAATTTTTCCTCCCTTCCTCCTCACCTTACCCTAACTCAGGATGCTTCAAGTACTTGGGTCTTGTAAAATGCAGTAATTTCTAATTTGGCTAGTGGGGTAAAGTGATTTTCTGTGTGTGCGCGCGCGCCAAGGGACCCTCGGCGCACCTCTGCCGATAACGCCCCAGGATGTGGCTTCCAAACAACTAGAACAGGCGTTGCATTTTGCTGCGGGACCCTCAAGAATCCCCAAAACGCAGAAGGGGGTCCGGGAAGACGCAGCTTGGCATGCATGCCAGCTGCCAGCCACCCCTGCTTGCAAGCATCGCCCACTCCAAGAGGGCAAGGAATGTTCGATGGGCCTCTGGTCACACTTGAGGAGCCACAGAGATATAAACATGCTAATTCCGCCAGTGCCCCCATGGCCCATTAACTCTGCTGATGAGGTCACAGACCGTGGGTCATTAAGGGCTCTCCACTCAGCTGGAACAAACGCCTTGGGCGCGTCTTGCAAAGGGAAAGAGAGGGCATTATGTCACCAGCCAGTAAACGGCAGCATCACTGATAACAGGCACACCTTGTGAGCGGGGCAAACGTCACAGCAGCTCCTCGCTGCTATCAAAAGAATCTTGCAAGGTTTAGATTGATGGAGATTGTTATGTACTGAGCTGAATCCTAGATCAATAGGATCCAGAATGCAGCAGTCTGATTGGTCCACAGGAGCCACCCAATCCAGCTTCGGGTGGAAGTGAATCAGCGACCTGATTGGCCTGCAGGAGCAGCCAATCAGGCTCCTGGATGAAGTGAATCGACAACCTGATTGGCCTACAGGAGCAGCCCGGAATTAGCCAATCACGCGGGGCCCATTGTGTAAATAATGTACCCATTTTGGGGAAAGTTTCATTCATTGCTACTATGAGCTGAATAAAGAGCATGAAATTCACACTCGACTCCGAGTATATTTCAGAGATATTCCTGGCTTTTCAAATGTTGAATCCCAGCTTACACCCGCGTTCAAGGCTCATAAATAGCCCCTTTTCCTTTGAGGTCCCCCATCTCTGCTCTAAGCTGCCGGAGAATAGAACAGGCCAATTTCCTTTTCCTTCATTCTCTTCTTCCTGGTCTTCAATTTCCATTTTCCAGGTGACACTCCGCAGGAGCCCACTGTTTGAGTGGGGGTGGGGATGGGATGATGAAGAGCTGAAGATGATGAAGAAGAATAATAATAATAATAATAATAATAATAATAATTTTATTATTTATACCCCGCCCATCTGGCTGGGTTTGCCCAGTCACTCTGGGTGGCCCCCAACAGAATATTAAAAACATGAAAAACATCAAAAATAAAAACTTTCCTAAACAGGGCTGCCTTCAGATGTCTTCTAAGAGTCAGATAGTTGTTTATTTCCTTGACATCTGATGGGAGGGCATTCCACAGGGCGGGCGCCACCACCGAGAAGGCCCTCTGCCTGGTTCCCTGTAACCTCACTTCTCACAGTGAGGGAACCGCCAGAAGGCCCTCGGTGCTGGACCTCAGTGTGCATGTTTTAGAGCCAGACCAGAAGGCTGGGAGAATTCTCCTGAAGGATGGCAGAGAAGATTCTTACTAGGGGGCGCCTTCATTGGTTAAATGCAAGTCTCCAATTTATTTTCACCTAGCGCCAGATTGGTTTATTTGTTTGTCATATTCTATGGGGGCGGGGGGAGATTTATAACAACTTACAACAGGAAAATGCACCTGAATGCAATTCATAACCAATATGCCATTTAAAAACACCAATAGTTAAATGTGCCTCTTTTGCTCTCTTTGATAGAATTTGGCTTTTCAAAACTGGTTCATGAAAGAACTGAATAAATGAATAATAATAATAATAATAATAATAATAATAATTTTATTATTTGTACCCTGCCCATCTGACTAGGTTTCCCTAGCCACTCTGGGCAGCTTCCAGCATATATAAAAACATAATAAAACAGCAAATCTTAAAAACGGCTGCCTTCAGATGTTTCCTAAATGTGATATAATTTCTCATCTTCTTGCCATCTGATGGGAGGGGTGCCACTACCAAGAAGGCCCTCTGCCTGGTTCACTGTAGCTTCACATCTTGCAGTGAGGTGAACACCAGAAGACCCTTGGAGCTGGACCTGAGTGTCCGGGCTGGACGATGGGGGTGGAGACGCTCCTTCAGGTATACAAGGCCCAGGCTGTTTAGGGCTTTAAAGGTCAACACCAACACTTTGAATTGTGCTTGGAAATGTATGGGAAGGAAAAGACCCCATAGCTGTTGATTGAGACAATGAATCTAGGTCCACAGCCCGCAAGCATGTGAGTTTCCCTAGGGAAAATATATCCCATGCAGATATTCCCCTGCCTCTTCCCCATGGAAAACCGTAGGCATCCCATGAGTTGAGGACCTTCTGTGATGATCCTCATTGATTCAGTTTGGGAAGCCTCTCTCAGATATCTTCCCCGAACTTCTTTTCGAAATCTGGAGCTACCACCACAAAGCATTTGACTTTCCTCCAAGGTGACATTTAACCAAATTCAGCTGCACAAAGGTCTATTAGGCTGATTTTACCAAGCTGATTAAAGAGTTAATAGGTGACTAAGCTGTTATGCAACCTGGCATTTGGCGAGGGGGGGCACAGGAGGATTGCCTTCAAGCCCTCCAAACAGCTTTCCAAATTAATGAACTGGATACTTGCGGTGGCGTCACAGAGTTAGCAAACTCCTGAAGCGTTGAGCAGGACACTAATGGCCTGAGGTGTTAGAAGGATTTCTAATAAGGAAGAAATTACCAGATGGGACACTGAGCTCTTTGCAGCCCTCCTGGGGCGACTCTTGGGTGGGTGGGTCAGCTGGTCCACACCTGCAATTGTCACAAAAGCGCCTCCCCTTGATGGCTTCTAGGGTTGAGGGACGAGTTCGATTCAGTTTGATTTTCCATTCGAAACTACCTAATTTGCAGTCCCTGAAATGCGGGGCTGAAATGCAGCTGCCTTCTGTGATAGGAATTTTGAGGTCTTAGATATATGGTAATGTTCATAACCGCACCTACATAGATCAGCACAGGAAGACCGACCTGAAGCCATTTTGATTCCTAAACTGAGCAAATGTTTTCTCTGCAAGGTCCAAGTGGAAAAGCCTCCCCATTGTCTTTTCCTTCACAAATCCTGTCTTAAGGGTATGTCTGTCTTTGAATAGGGTGTGAGCCTGTGACCTGGCTCAGGAACTAAGTATTTGTCATTACAAAAGACTGGCCAGGCTCCCCAGGGTATCCAATCAAGTGACCATTAACAGGTTACCATCCAGGCAGGAGGTAAACAACGCACTCAGATTTCTGTTGTAGACCGCCCTTTCTGTGATGTAGGCGTGATGTATCTGGGGTGGTGGTCTTGAGCTACACCCCTTCTGTGATGTATGTATCATGTTTCTGGGGGTGGTCTTGATCTACAGGGTGGCAATTTCAAAGTCTTTATAAGGCCTTGCGCACCATTTTTCTGGGTTCCTTCTCCTCTCCTGCGGGTGAGGGGAGCACCCTGTTGCAACAGATCAATAAAGATCAGGCTTACGAGCTGCTTTGCTTCTCAATATTCTCTGGTTGGCCTCTGTTATTTTCTGCTACCAATAGGGTACCTATGTAAGGACTCTATATGGGATCTTGGAAACCCCATAAGGGAAAAGGGCAATTTTTGTTTACAACACTTTCAAAATCTGCACCACTCCTCAAACAAAAAAATGTGCACTTTTTATTTTTATTTTTTTGTTAAAAGTAAGATTCTGGCGTCTGATATGTGAGGCAACATGTGCAGGCGCCATTTTCCTCGTTAGTTTCGCCAGAAACTAGCTTTCCCTCACGTTTCAGCATTTTGGCCAATGGCAAGAGTCACAGCAGTGGCTGACATTTAAGAGAAGGGAATCTAGCCAATTTGAGATCTTGCCATTTAAGGAAAAAGGATCTGGCCAATTCGAGGCAAGAGTGTGGTTGTTTCTGAAGGACCAGCACAACACAGAACCCAAAACAACCTGTACATTAAAGATAAGGGGCTTGCCTCAGGACCCCTGGTGAATTCATGGCAGGAGTGAAATTTCAGCCAACGACCTTCCGGGTACGTAACTCAGTCTCTTCACCGCAGTGCTATGCCAACCCTCTGGTCCATTTGCAGATAAGCATAAGGAGCAAACTTTGCAAGCAAGGGGTCTGCACTTAGAGATATCCATTTGCATGTGATGGAAAAACAGAATCAGTTCACACTCTTGTATCAGAACTGGAGCTCAGCTGCTACAGAATCTCTCCTCTCCTTTAGTGGGGCTCATTCTGCCTTCATTTCTGATCAGCCAGCGGCTGCCGTGAGTCTTTTAGAGCTTTACTTCATCTGCTCTATCCATTTCAGACTGAAGGCAGCGCAGGGGAAGTTGGCTCTCAAGTCGTGACTCAGCTGGAGAGGAAAGGACAAACACGGGTGGGGTGGGGAAATGAATAAGATATATGAATTCATGTTAAGGATATCAGCTTTTAAAGATGACGTGGTGGGTTCAGGGTGGGGTGGGGTTCAGTCTGGATGAGGCCCTGAATTCTTTCCAGTTTTGGGGATCCTATACCCAGGGAGGTTACAATCTAATAGAGGAATTTACTGAATGGGTGAGACAAATTTCTTTGTAAGACAACAACCTTAGCTGGCCACTTACGTGTCCTCATCAGCGTCCCAAAAGAATTGGCTAAATTGAGAGAGCTTCAACTAAGAGCTGATCTTCATGCAGGAAAAAAAATGCTATAAATAAGTCAGAAATTTAATCATTGCAACAAAAGGGGGGAAAAACGCTATGTAAAAAACACATAGAAAATTTATTTGCTCTCTGGTGCCATCTGGTTTTGCGTGTTTATAATGCATCCAAGGGACGCGGGTGGCGCTGTGGGTTAAACCACAGAGCCTAGGACTTGCTGATCAGAAGGTCGGCGGATCGAATCCCCGTGACGGGGTGAGCTCCTGTTGCTCCAGCGGGAAGGTAAACGGCATTTCCATGCGCTGCTCTGGTCCGCTAGAAACAGCTTAGTCATGCTGGCCACATGACCCAGAAGCTGTCTGCGGACAAACGCCGGCTCCCTCGGCCCATAAAGCGAGATGAGCGCCACAACCCCAGAGTCGGTCACAACTGGACCTAATGGTCAGGGGTACCTTTACCTTTTTACCTTTAATGCATCCAAAATGTTTTTTTGACTCATGTAGCTGAGTCCTAAGTGATGGCTTCTGCCAGGCTAATTAGTGGTCCTTTTCTCCACCACGTTCACCCAGCTGCTATGTAAGAGGGCAATAGCCAGAGTGGTATGCAAACAGAGCTGGAAGCAGCCTGGAAGCTGGAGAAACAGCAACCTGCTTGCTCTGTGATGGATCCAAAGCTGTCACTAATGGCAATCAAGCTCTGTTGGAGTGTTAATACTGCGAGCCCCTCTCTCTGATCACCAGTGTCGAAGCAATGGTTCTTCAACATAAACTTTGTTGGACCGGTCATGTTGTTCGGTTGCCTGATTATCATCTTCCAAAGCAACTACTCTATTCCAAAAGGAAAGTGTAATGCTGGTGGTCAACATAAGAGGTTTAAAGACTCTCTCAGGTCAAATCTTAAAAAATATAGTATTAGCACCGACAACTGTGAAATACTGGCCTGCGAGCGCTCCAGCTGGAGAACAGCCTTTACCAAAGGTGTCGTGGGTTTTGAAGACGCTCAAACTCAGGACGAAAGAGAGAAACGCGCTAAGAGGAAGGCATGTTTGGCAAATCCACACCATGATCAATTCCCACCTGGAAACCTATGTCCCCAGAATGGAAGGACGTGTGGATCCAGAACTGGCCTCCATAGTCACTTATGGACTCACTATTAAGACCGTGTTCATGGAAGACAATCTTACTCGGCTACGAGTGATCGGCAAAGAGAGAAGAATATATCCTGTAATCTTTTGGCTTGGATGTGATCCCTTACCTCAAAATTGCTTACATCCCACAGATATTTTGAGACGGTTTAATAATAATAATGGCAATAAAAAGCCCTACCAAGTCAGTGGCCATTGGCCACTCAGATTCAGGCTAAATCTTTCAGAAAACATTATCACATTATTACTAAGAGAAGGAATGATGACTGATCCAAACAGAGCTGATATTATGGTTACCAAGCCCTTAAAATCGCTCCATGTTAAATCAGAAGCTGCCTGGAGGACTCCGTAGGATAATAATGAACCCTCACCTTGTTCAAAACCATCTCTTGGGTCGTGGGGTCTGAGATATTCAGGGAAGTGGTCAAGCCCATTGACAAGATGACCTGGGTCCCACCTGCCAGCAGAGGAAAAAATCACACACAAACCACCACATTTGTTCCTTTTCTGCATAAGTTCAGCCACAAGTCCCGGTATTAGCAGACAGGGAGAAAAACCTTTTCTCCACATCATGTGTCTTTGTATAAACGCCTGTCATTTAATTGCTTTACTTATTTAAGACATTTATATCCTGCTTTTCACGACAGGAGGCATTCAACTGCCCCACGTCCCGTCAGGGCAAGGAAGCAGGAAGAGAAATTGCAGAGTCAGGTGAGATTTAGGAAGAGCGACACACCTGGATGACAAGAGCTTACCTGTATTTGGAGGTAGAGAAGGGCAGGAAGGCCTTGGCGGGGGCCTCTTGGTTCCACCTGGAGCTGCGGAAGGAGCTGGAGGAGCCACAAGAAGACAAGTCAGCTCTTTCCTTGCAAAAGATCCAGCCCCTCCCACATAAGTTGCCCCATCAACCAGCCCAGGCCCTGCTGAGACTAGGGAGAGGGGCTGCTTGTGGGGAACATGAGTAGACCCTTCTCTGTGGTACTGCCCCAGTTGTGAGACTCCCTCCCATGCAGAAATAATAATAATAATGATGATGATGATGATGATGATGTATGTGTTTGTTAATATATTATAAGTTACTTTGAGTTACTTAAAAAGGTAAAGGGACCCCTGACCATTAGGTCTAGTCGTGGCTGACTCTGGGGTTGTGGCACTCATCTCGCTTTATTGGCCGAGGGAGCCAGCGTACAGCTTCTGGGTCATGTGGCTAGCATGACTAAGCCGCTTCTGGCGAACCAGAGCAGCGCACAGAAACGCCGTTTACCTTCCCGCCGGAGTGGTACTTATTTATCTACTTGCACTTTGAGGTGCTTTCGAACTGCTAGATGGGCAGGAGCAAGGACTGAGCAACGGGAGCTCACCCCATCGCGGGGATTCGAACCGCCGACCTTCTGATCGGCAAGTCCTAGGCTCTGTGGTTTAACCCACAGCGCCACACGCATCCCTCTTTTGAGTTACTCACCTTGGTAAAAAAGAGAAATAATAATAATAATAATAATAATAATAATAATAATGTATGCGTTTGTTAGGGACGCGGGTGGCGCTGTGGGTAAAACCTCAGCACCTAGGACTTGCCAATCGTCAGGTCGGCGGTTCGAATCCCCGCGGCGGGGTGCGCTCCCGTTGCTCGGTCCCAGCGCCTGCCAACCTAGCAGTTTGAAAGCACCCCTGGGTGCAAGTAGATAAATAGGGACCGCTTACTAGCGGGAAGGTAAACGGCATTTCCGTGTGCTGCGCTGGCTCGCCAGATGCAGCTTGTCACGCTGGCCATGTGACCCAGAAGTGTCTTCGGACAGCGCTGGCCCCCGGCCTCTTAAGCGAGATGGGCGCGCAACCCCAGAGTCGGACACAACTGGCCCGTACGGGCAGGGGTACCTTTACCTTTACCTATGTGTTTGTTAATATATTATAAGTAGCTTGGTAAAAAAGAGAAATAATAATAATAATAATAATAATAATAATAATAATAATAATATCAATTTTGATAAAAACCAGCTGTAGTCTGACCTCTGTTTATGTTCTGTGCAAGGTGAATGTTCAATTATCCCACTTCTTAGGGTTAGGATAACGCCAGCCTTATTTGTTTGTTTGTTAAATTTATATACCGCAGCGTATATATGATCTCAGGGCAGTTATCTCAGCCTACAGATACTTGCATTCCTTCCAGCTCTGCCGCTTAGCTCAAAATGCATGTACTTGTGTGCCTAGGAGCCAACTCCCAGGGGCCGAAGTCCCTTCACACACCCCCAAATGTTTGAGGGGGCTTCCCCTCACAAGGGTTGATGGTCACTGCCATTCAAATGGTGTGTGAGAGCCACATCATGTGATCAATTCTGTTGGGCAGAACTTAACTGCCCCCCAATATTGCATTCAAGTCACACACCCCCTGCTTGTGTGAGCCTTCCCTGTTCAGATGAATGTCAAAGTCAGTATGCTTACCTGGCGCTGAAATTGGAACCTTAATAATTTTGGTCACCTTTGTTGACGATGTGGTGGTACCAGTTGCCCTTGTGGCATTTGTAGTTCGTGTGGTAGCTTGCTGTGAGGCGGTGGGTTTCCCTATTGTCTTTGGTGCTGCAGTGGTTTTGAGCAGTGAAATGGTGGAAAGAAGCAACTGTTGAAGTGACCTTGGCAGTTTTACTGGTGGTAGATGAAGCTTCACCTCTGGAGGTGGTTGCGAAGGTCATCTGTGGTCCTGAGGTGAGGGCAAGGGAGCTTCCAGTTGTGGCTGTGAGCTCAGTTGTGGTTGATGTGGTCTGTTTTGGCAATGTGACAACAGGGATGCTACCTTCACCCTTGGTTGCAGCTAGTGATGGGGACAGGAGTGCTGTCGAAGTGGCTTGGTAACTTTGGATAAAAGTTGTGAGCTCAGAGGTGGTTTCAGCAGGATGGGAAGAAGGAGCTGTTGTTGGGGTGGAGGTTCCTTCTGCAAATGTGGCTTTTTCTGGACTGTGGGATGCCAGCAGTGTTGACCTATTGTCTTCTACTGCAGTGCTGATGAACATAGTTTGTTTTTGGCTGAGTGTTACTTCTGGAGCAGTACTACTGGACCTCGCTGTTTGACCTGTAATTTCAATTGATGGGGTGGTGGAAGAGAGGCCTGTTGATGTGGTCTCTTCTGGCAGTGTACCAGCAGTGGTGGTACTTTCATCCGTGATCTTAGCTTGTGATTCTGTTGGAGTGACTGCACTTCTTTGGATAAAAGATGTAGGATCAATGCTCGTTTCACCAGGATAAGAAGGATGAACTGTTTTTGGGATGGTGGTTCCTTCTGCAAATGTGGCTTCTTCTGTGCCGTAGGATACTGGCAGCGTTGAGCTACTGTCTTCTACTGCACTGCTAATGGAGGTGGTGATCTCTTCTGTCGTGCTGAAAGTCACAGCTGCTGGAGTGCCGGTTTCAGCTGTCGTTTCAGTTGGTGAGAGAGAGCTGTGTGCTGCAACAGTTGTGAGCTGAGCTGTGGATTTACCTGGAGAGGAAGACGGACTGGAGACTGACAAAGTGTTGAGCCTTGTGGCAGTCACAGCAGTTTCGGATGTGGAGGGCTCAGCTGTCATGGCTGGCAATGTGCTTAGCAATGAGGTGGTGGGTTGTGCTGCTGAGCTTGCCTTTGGTGCCGTAGTAGTGAGACTGGGGCTGCTTGTTGTGGTTTGGAGCAGTGAAATAGTGGAAGAAGCAACTGTTGAAGTGACCTTGGCAGTTTTACTGGTGGTAGATAAAGCTTCACCTCTGGAGGTAGTTGTGAAGGTCATCTGTGGTTCTGAGGTGAGGGCAGGGGAGCTTCCAGTTGTGGCTGTGAGCTCAGTTGTGGTTGATGTGGTCTGTTTTGGCGATGTGACAACAGGGATGCTACCTTCACCCTTGGTTGCAGCTGATGATGGGGACAGGAGTGCTGTCGAAGTGGCTTGATAACTTTGGATAAAAGTTGTGAGCTCAGAGGTGGTTTCACCAGGATGGGAAGAAGGAGCTGTTGTTGGGGTGGAGGTTCCTTCTGCAGATGTGGCTTTTTCTGGACTGTGGGATGCCAGCAGTGTTGGCCTATTGTCTTCTACTGCAATGCTGATGAACATTGGTTGGTTTTTGGCTGGTTTTTGGCTGAGTGTTACTTCTGGAACAGTGCTACTGGACCTCACTGTTTGACCTGTGATTTCAGTTGATGGGGCGGTGGAAGAGAGTCCTGTCGACGTGGTCTCTTCTGGCAGTGTGCCAGCAGTAGTGGTAATTTCATCCGTGGTCTTAGCTAGTGATTCTGTTGGAGTGACTGCACTTCTTTGGATAAAAGGTGTAGGCTCAACGCTCGTTTCACCAGGATAGGAAGCAGGATGAACTCTTGTTGGAGTAGCAGTTTCTTCTGCAGGGCTGATGGTCACTTCTGAAAAAGCAGTGGTGGTCTCCTCCGCTGAAGTCAGTTCTCTACGCTTTGTGGTTTCGAATGTGGTTATGTCTTGAGGAGCTAGCGACTGGGATCTTGAGCTAGTTTCTACTATCATAGTGCTGGTGGCTTCTGGGATTTCAGGTGTAGGGCTGCTAGCCACATCACCTAAAGCACCAGGGCTGGTGGCCATTCCAGATGTTGAACTGCCAGTGGCAACTGTCCGAGGTGAGTTGGTGCGGGGCTGCAGGGCTGCAGAAGAGAATGTGGATGGAGGAGAAACAGTTGGGAGTGTGGGTGCAAGGGCTGTGGAGGTGACTTCTACAGAGGTGCTGAAGATCAGTGGATGTTTTGTGGAAGAGACAGACGCATGCATGGATCTTTCTGCTCCAGTGTTGGGGGTGGCAAAGCTTTTGGCTGTGGTCATGGTATGCAAAGTAGCAACAGATTCTGTGATGGGCGTGGCTTTGTCTTGAGAGGCTGAAGATAGGACTGTAGGGCTTGTTTCTTCTTCCAAAGTAGTAGAATCCGTGGTTAGAGGTTCTGAAGTGCCAGTGATAGCTGTCGAATCATGCAGTGAAGAGAAGAGGAACGTTGTTGGTTGTTGGCTGAGTGTTGGCCCAGTGCTCCTGGACTTCGCTGTTTGAACTGTGGTTTCAGTTGATGTGGTGGTGGAAGAGAGGCCTGTTGACGTGGTCTTTTCTGGCGGTGTGCCAGTAGTGGTGGTACTTTCATCCGTGGTCCTAGCTAGTGATGGGGAAATGAACTCTGTTGAACGGCCAGCAGCAACTGTCCAAGGTGAGTTGCTGCGGGGCTGCAGGGCTGCAGAAGGGAATGTGGATGGAGGGGGAACAGTTGAGAGTGTGGATGCAAGGGCTGTGGAGGTGACTTCTACAGAGGTGCTGAAGATCGGTGGATGTTCTGTGGAAGAGACAGACGCATGCATGTATCTTTCTGCTCCAGTGTTGGGGGTGGCAAAGCTTTTGGCTGTGGTTATGGTATGCAAAGTAGCAACAGATTCTGTGATGGGCGTGGCTTTGTCTCGAGAGGCTGAAGATAGGACGGTAGGGCTTGTTTCTTCTTCCAAAGTAGTAGAATCCGTGATTCCAGCTTCTGAAGTGCCAGTGATAGCTGTCGAATCATGCAGTGAAGAGAAGAGGAACGTTGTTGGTTGTTGGCTGAGTGTTGGCTCAGTGCTACTGGACCTCACTGGGGTGGTGGAAGAGAGGCCTGTTGACGTGGTCTTTTCTGGCGGTGTGCCAGTAGTGGTGGTACTTTCATCCGTGGTCTTAGCTAGTGATGGGGAAATGAACTCTGTTGGAGTGGTTGCACTTCTTTGGATAAAAGGTGTGGGCTCAGTGCTCATTTCACCAGAATAGGATGAAGGATGAACTGTTGTTGGGGTGGTGGTTCCTTCTGCAGACGTGGCTTCTTCTGTGCTGTAGGATACCGCCAGCGTTGAGCTACTGTCTTCTACTGCAGTGCTGATGGAGGTGGAGGAGTCAGCTACTGTGGTGACATCCGTGGTTAGCAATGTGCTTAGCAATGGGCCAGTGGTGGGTTGAGTTGCTGAGCTTGCCTTTGGTGCTGTAGTAGTGAGACTGGGGCTGGTTGTGGTTTGTGAAATGGTGGGAGCAACAGAATTGGAAGTGACTTTGGCCGTAGTGCTGATGGTAGAAGAGCCTTCACCTGCGAAGGTGGAATGGAAAGCTACCAGGGTGAACCTGGGTGGCCTAGTATTGGTAGAATAGCTTCCAGGTGTGGGTACAGCTGATGAAGTGGCTGGTAATTCTTCTGTGGACATTTTTGCTTGGGAATGGGTGGTTTCTTCTGCAGGGCTGACAGTCCCTTCTGAAACAGCAGTGGTGGTCTCCTCAGCTGTGATCTGAACAGCGCTTTTACCTGCAGAGGATGATGGGTCAGGGGTAGTCCCTGTTGTTGAGGGGTGTGTGGTGGAACTGCTTAGCAATGGAACGGTGGATTTCTCTGATGCATTTGTCTGTGGTGTGGAGGTGAGACTGGAGCTCGTTGTGAAGGCAGAGTGAACTGTGGCTGCACCTGAGGAGGAAGAGAAGCGAGATCGAGTTCTGCACTGGGGCACAGAAAGAGCTCACCTTCTCCAGGAACTGAAAATTTCTTTTAGAATTCCATACTTGGCTAGACAGACAAAAATTCTGAGATGGGATACGGCAACATCCTTCACACAGTTTGCACCCCAGCAACTTTTTTAAAAAGATTGTTTTCTTCTGAAAATATTTATGGATTATAAGCATCCCTTTGTGTCTCTCACTGGGCTCCCCTGTAGTTTAGCTCCTCTCTCCCTTCCTTCAAAACTCCCCTAAAAACCCACATTTCCCTGCATGGCCTTTGGCTTATCCTCAGAATCATCAATCCCTCAGTTTCTCCCCGTTTGTCTGCCTTAAACTGTGAGCTCCTTCTGAGTAGACACCTGTTTGTGTACTTCCTATGAAACGCTCATGGTTGTGTACTGACTTGTTTAATGCTAATAATAAAGATTTCTGCTAGCATAGCTTGGGAACGAGTGCAGCTCAGGGTTGGAGCATCTGCTTTGCATTCAGGAGGTCCCAGGATCAATCCCTGGTGTCCCCAGGAAGATCTCCGAGGGAATCCCAATCTGCAACCTGGAGAGCCAGTGTAGGCAGTACTGAGCCTCATGGCTCAATTGCTCTCTTAATATAAAGAAGCCCCCTATGTTCTTAGTTCAGTTGTGCTACAGCTACTCTTGTTCTTAGGCCATTTGCTGGATCCCAAGGTCAGCAACCAGGGACGTGGGTGGCGCTGTGGGTTAAACCACAAAGCCTAGGACTTGCCGATCAGAAGGTCGGCGGTTCAAATCCCCATGACGGGGTGAGCTCCCATTGCTCTGTCCCTGCTCCTGCCAACCTAGCAGTTTGGAAGCACGTCAAAGTGCAAGTAGATAAATAGGTACCACTCCGGCGGGAGCACGTCAAAGTGCAAGTAGATAAATAGGTACCACTCCGGCGGGAAGGTAAACGGCATTTTTGTGCGCTGCTCTGGTTCTCCAGAAGCAGCTTAGTCATGCTGGCCACATGACCCGGCAGTTGTATGCCAGCTCCCTCGGCCAATAAAGCGAGATGAGCGCCGCAACCCCAGAGTGGTCCGTGACTGGACCTAATGGTCAGGGGTCCCCTTACCTTTAAGGTCAGCAACCAACTGAATGTGAGGGCCGCTATTAAGAAGGGATGATAAGATTGCCCACGGGCTACACCTGGGTTATCCTTCTTGGATTTCTAGCGAATACTGGTGTCAGCTACTACTCCATCTGCACACCACACTTGTCTTTGCATTGGCAACTGTGCAGCAGGTGGACAAGTGGACGCCTCAGGTGGGGGCTGATTTGGCCCCAGGGCTTCCAGTGGCTGACCCTCAATTTGCATGCCTCCCCTCCTCCCCAGAGAACAACTAGAGAAGAAACTGATATGAAATTGACATCCACTCAACTGTTCAAAAGAGATTCCTGAAGCAAGCCTTAGAATCCATGCCAAAAAGACAAAGCAGCAGCAGCAGTTTCTACACTGCGCAGGGTCCAAACTGCCCTGGGGCTTTGTCTTTTACAACACGCCAGCGTATTTCAACAGCTCCCAGGAAAGGAAAAGGAAAATACAACTCTGGTGCTATTCAGTTGCCAAAGTGGCTAAAATCTCTAGGGAGCATGGCGCAGTGGAAGTAAAATATGCCACAGGCAGAACTGAGCCTGGAAGGTGGTTCTGTTGTGAACTGGTTTCTTCTCTGCCTATTTTACTCCATGTTGCATTGCAAGATTGCTGTCACTGCAGAAGCATTTCATGCCCCTTCTAGCTGAAAGTTATGAGCTACTCCTCGTGGTACAACGGACAAGCTCCCTAGTTTTTCGCTGATCTTGAGTAATTGTGCGCCCATGTTTTTACACGAGCCACAAGAACACAGTTTGGTTTTTGCTTTCTTTGGCCAAAGGTTATTAACAGCTGATTCGCGTATGAAGCAACGCAAGGATTTGGCTGATTCTGGAACTCCAGCTTTCCTCCAAAGCCACCTTTCTCCCCCCCCCCCCCCCGCAACACGTTGCTATGCATTAGTCAGTGAGACTTGGCAGCAGTCACTCACCATGGCTCCAGCAGGGAAGGCACAATAATAAAAGGGGCACCACAGGGAAATGATAGCAGCCCATTCCGACAATGCTTCTTGCTTGCCCTTCCAATCTGGGACCAGCAGCCCGGTCCGCTCTGTGTGTTGTAAGTCCACAAGTGGTGCTTCCAGAAATCCTTGCTGTTGGTTTACTTCCTTGGCATGGTTTCCTGGTTTGAAAGACAGTTGGAGGGTGGAGTGCCCAAAACCTGCTCCCTTTTTTTCGCTCCAAAGCCTTTGAATAGCTTTCTTACTGTAAGAGCTGTTTGACAGTGGAACAGACTCCCATGGAAAGTGGGGGACTCTCCTACATTGGAGGTTTTTAAGCAGAGGTTGGGTGGGACACCTATCAGAGATTCTTTAGCTGCAATTCCTGCATTGCAGTGGGCTGGACTGGGTGATCTTTAGGGGTCCCTTCCAACTCTACAATTCCATCATAGGGAATTGTCATTTTAAATAATAATAATAATAATAATAATAATAATAATAATAATAATAAATTTTATTTATACCCCGCCCTCCCCGGCCAGAGCCAGGCTCAGGGTGGCTAACACCAGTAAAATTACAATAAAAACATAACAGGGGGGGGGACACCAATTTAAAATGCAGCCTCATTTTAAAAGTAGCCCATAGATCAAAACCGTAAGGGGAGGGAAAACATAAGGGTCAGGCTGAGTCCAAACCAGAGGCCAGGCAGAACAGCTCCGTCTTGCAGGCCCTACGGAAAGATGTCAAGTCCCGCAGGGCCCTAGTCTCTTGTGACAGAGCGTTCCACCACGTTGGGGCCAATGCTGAAAAGGCCCTGGCCCTAGTTGAAACCAATCTAACCTCCTTGAGGCTCGGGACCTCCAAAGTGTTGTTATTTGTGGACCTTAAGGTCCTCCGCGGGGCATACCAGGAGAGGCAGTCCTGTAGGTACGTGGGTCCTAGGCCGCATAGGGCTTTATTTTATTTTATTTTTATTAATATTTTATTAAGTTTTCAGAAAAAAGAAAATAACCAAGCATATATCAAACATAAAAGACATAACTATCAATTATATATAAAAAGAAAAGAAAAAAAGAAAAACACAGTTTTTCATACATATGTTCCATAACCATCTGGACTTCCTCACGTTTCCCTTTTCTGCGTTCTCAATATAAAAGTTATGTTCAGCAATTTATTACCTTCCTTCAGATCTTATATTCTAATTCTAATATGTTATGCCTCTGGTTTTAACTAATTCCATCAAATATTTATCTGCTTAATTTAGGCATAACTTTACTTCAAATCTCATCAAAACTTATCTTTGTATTTCAGCTTATTCTCATACATATCTCATCTAAGCTGCTGTTGCCATAATCTTTCCTTTCATGCACCTTCTTAACAGGCCGCATAGGGCTTTAAAGGTCAAAACCAGACCTTAAACCTGACCATGTACTCCACCGGGAGCCAGTGCAGTTGGATAAATCACTGGATGAATGTGATCCCGTGGCAAGGACCCCGTAAGGAGCCTCACCGCTGCATTCTGCACCCGCTGGAGTTTCTGGAACAGCTTCAAGGGCAGCCCCATGTAGAGCGAGTTACAATAATCAAGCCTGGAGGTGACCGTCGCATGGATCACTGTGGCCAGATCAGGGCAAGAAAGGTAAGGGACCAACTGCTTAATACGGCGGAGATGGAATCCAATTTGAAGATCAAGCACAGCAAATGCCTAGCTTAAGCACAGCCAGGAAACCTCAGAGGTTGTCCTGGTGGAGCAGCTGGTCGCTGAAAAATAGAGACACCAGTGTTCGAGGCTGCCTAAATGCCATATCATCTCACTAGAAGCCAGTCCCCTAAATCCAGATCTGTGTGGAGGGGCATTGTTATGTACTGAATTTCTCACCCTGGGCCAGCAGGGGGATACTGTAGATAGTTTTCACTCAGGTCCACATATGCAAATAAGGGATTGAAAGTGACATTCAGTGATTGGATAGTTACAGAAAGTGGTTACAGTTGCTTTGTAGTGGAGCTCTATATAAGCAGGCTGGCTGAACCCTTCAGTTCAGTTCTGTCCTGGCCTGTGAATAAACAAGAGCTGTTTGAAGAATCGCTGTGTCGTCTGATATGTTCACCCACAACTTAACAGGCATTAGCAGCAGTGGTTGCTCAGTGCTGAGAGGAAATCATTGAAAAACACGCTTAGAAGCCACTTTGCATTTTTTTCCCGTTTAAGGGCAAAATCTTATAGAATTGCTCACACAAGCAGGGGTGGCGTTTACCAATTTATAAGAATTTTTTTTTCATTGAATGCATACTCCATTTCACAACCACTGTATTAGGGTAAATCATACTGCAAAAAAATATGTACAGTGGTACCTCAGGTTAAGTACTTAATTCATTCCGGAGGTCCGTTCTTAACCTGAAACTGTTCTTAACCTGAAGCACTACTTTAGCTAAAGGGGCCTCCTGCTGCCGCCGCACTGCCAGAGCCCGATTTCTGCTCTCATCCTGAAGCAACGTTCTTAACCTGAAGCACTATTTCTGGGTTAGCAGAGTCTGTAACCTGAAGCGTATGTAACCTGAAGCATATGTAATCTGAGGTACCACTGTATTAGGCAAAAGCGCATTCAGAAATGTGTATATGAGAAATTAGCACTCAAATGCTGATTACTTTCCATGAGGATTTTTTCTTTTTTTTTTAATGCAAACTGATGTCGAAATGTGGAGAACTAGAGATTGGAAAAATGAGAAAACATAAATGCTATATGGCGTATTGTCCACGTCTTCTCATATTGCTGAATACCAAATCCAGACCCCAGACTTGCGTCTTCA